TGATATAATAATATAATATATAATAATTTATTAATAACATAATATATAATAATAATTTAATAATAAAAATTCATTATATTTTGTGTGAGGAGAAGCTGCACTGGGACTGGGTCTCAGGGAAGTGATGTACCGTATATACTCGAGTATAAGCTGACCCGAATATAAGCCAAGGCCCCTAATTTTACCACAAAAAACTGGGAAAACTTATTGACTCGAGTATAAGCCTAGGGTGGGAAATGCAGCAGCTACTGGTAAATTTCTAAATTAAATCAGATCCTAATAAAATTACATTAATTGAATATTTATTTACAGTGTGTGTATAGAATGAATGCAGAGTGTGTGTTTGTGTGTGTATATAATGAATGCAGAGTGTGTGTTTGTGTGTGTATATAATGCAGTGTGTGTTTGTGCAGTGTGTGTAAACTGGATGAGGGGAGGGCATTTTTATTTTAATATTTTATTATATTATTTTAATATTATTATTATTATTTTAATATTTGCATTTTTTTTTTTTAAATGTTTTTTGTCCCCCCCTCACTGCTTGTTGCCTGGTCAAGGAGGGGGGGACAAAAAACTATTTTTAAAAAAATAATGCAAATATTAAAATAATAATAATATAATAATAAAATAATATTATATTATTATTATTTTAATATTTGCATTATTTTTTTTTAAATGTTTTTTGTTCCCCCTGCCTGGCCAGGCAACAAGCAGGGAAGGGGGACAAAAACCATTTAAAAAAAAATAATGCAAATATTAAAATAATAATAATATAATATTAAAATAATAATATTATTTGCATTATTTTTTTTTAAATGTTTTTTGTTCCCCGTCCCTGGCCAGGCAACAAGCAGGGAAGGGGGACAAAAACCATTAAAAAAAAAAAATAATGCAAATATTAAAATAATAATAATATAATATTAAAATAATAATATTATTTTATTATTTGCATTATTTTTTTAAAAATGTTTTTTGTCCCCCCTCCCTGGCCAGGCAACAAGCAGGGAGGGGGGACAAAACCATTTTTAAAAAAAATTATGCAAATATTAAAATAATAATATAATAATATTATTTTAATAATATTATTTTATTATTATTAAAATAAAATATTAAATCCCTGGTGGTCCAGTGGCATTAGCAGTTCAGTGGGGGGGGGCTGACAGCGAGGTGTTACTTACCTTCCTGCAGCTCCTGTCAGCTCCCTCCTCCTCCGTGCAGCTCCTCTGTCAGCTCCGTTCTGTTTACAGTGTAAGTCTCACGAGACCCGCGGCTCTCGCGAGACTTACACTGTGAGCAGAACGGAGCTGACCGAGGAGATGCACGGAGGAGGAGATTGCTGACAGGAGCTGCAGGAAGGTAAGTAACACCTCGCTGTCAGCCCCCACCAGGACCGCCGGGCTTGTAATGAGCCCGGCGGTCCTGGTCTGTATTATGGCAATGAAAATTGCCATAATACAGACTGACTCGAGTATAAGCCGAGTTGGGGTTTTTCAGCACAAAAAATGTGCTGAAAAACTCGGCTTATACTCTAGTATATACGTTAATAATATAATTTAATAATATAATAATTTATTGATAAATGATGTGGAATCAATTAATAAATTGATTATCTTGCGTATCTGCCCCCGGCCAAATTAAAGAAGTAATGCGTGCACGCTCCTAAAGTAATTCACACCAGACACAGGTTTTGGGTTAATGAAAAACTTGAGGAATCTTTATTCTGAGGGGACGGCGTGTACCTTATAAAATTACATCATATGCATTGTCAGAGATAACATAGAATAATACATCAATAATTGGTTAGGTGTTAAGTGGTTCATTTAGCGCTCTTCCTACCAGGTGTGATGTCACTGGCATCTTGGAGGTCTCCCCCAGATTCCAGCACCATTTTGTTAATGAGGGTGTTAGTCGATGTCAAAGGGGAAACTGTAACGATGCCTTACCTTTCCTCCTCGGTCCCGCGCCGCACGGCATCCTCTTCCGGTGAGCGGCACAGCCCTTCTGACGCCGGCCGCTCACACCACACATATTTTTATAATACGGCGCAAGTAAATACCGACGTATGTCACACGTGGCCACGCCCCCAGACCTTCTTGGGGGTGGTTTTAAAGCAATATACCCCACACTATAAAAGGGCGTCCCTGTCACTTGAAAGGCGCCCTAGTGTGGTTCTTGTTAGTGCCTCTAGTCCTTATTCTCTCCTTTAGTGTTGATTCCCTGGTTATTGACTTTTGGCTTTCCCTTTTGACTACTCTACTCTCTGATTTCCCGTACTTTGGTTAGGTCTTATCGTTTACCCGTCTTCTGTACTCCCTTGATCTCTGGCTATCCATTTGACTACTCTATACGTTAGTCCGGCCACTCTAAGGTCCGGTATACGTTCTTCTCTGGGTTACACTGAGAAGGGGTCACTGTCGTGACAGAAACTCCCTAGCGGCCATTTTAGGTAAATCACATAGAAAGTTGAATAATGCTGATTGTAGTTATGCTGAGTAAATAGGCATTTTACTAACATGGATTGGGTTAATATTTTTGTCCACAACAGTCCCCCCTTAAAATGACTATTTACGAAAGAGAGAGAGACAACTACTAACTAACCCTAATGATGTCCCTAATTTGCTGCAGCTCATCTGTCTGAACAGGCCTCGAACGCTTCACTGCGCAGGTATCCTGCAGCGGCTAACCCACTACATCTCCTGCGTCAGACTCCTGCCCGTAGAGACAGACGCTGTCCCTATACTATCCCTATATGGAAGTAGTTGTCTGTTTGACGTGGTGAGACTGAAGAGGTGTGTGTGGGGTGTCACAGTCCATATCGTCGCTATCCTGATGTAGAAATGTAGGTGTAGTGCGGTCAATAGTCTGACCTACAGTCTTCTACAAATATTTCTGCACACAGGGCATCACACAGCAAACCAGGAAGAGAAAGAGAATTACCACAGTAAGAACTGCCATACCTACTTGGAAGAGAGATTTCTGCCATCCACACCATCTGTCCCATAAATTGGGGACTCTTGAATTCCTCTTGAATTCATCAGAAAGACTTTCTAATTTCTCTATAGCCATGGTTACCTTACTGTTGGGACCTGTATTGTCTGGGATGAAGGTACAGCATGTCATAGTATCGGGGAGTATTTTACACACGCCCCCCTTTTCTGCTAAGATCATGTCTAAAGCCATTCGATTCTGAAATGTCATTTGGGCGGTAGTCTGAAATTGTTCTGCCAAGCCCTGAAGGGCATCTCTAGTGTAATTGGCAAATCGTTGCTGGTTATAGTAGATATAATTGATCCAGTTAACATTCTTGTTAGCGGTGATGAGTGGGATCAAGGATTCGAATCCTGCCGCCACCTCATCTCTGGCCTTGAACTCATTTGGTACCCCCCCTTGGTACTCCAATGGCATCGATATATATGTGTGGGTCGAAACTACCTCGAATGGGGGTTTCTCTTTTTACTCTAAGATACGTGTGCGGTGAATCGTGTGGGCCTTGGTGGTTATCAGAAATTATATGTGTGGGCATGAAAACTTTGGTCAGAGCACATTCTCCCCACCACAGGCCAGTCATTTTTGATCTGAGCTGCATGTCACTACATAGCCAATAAATGTCTCCCACGGACTTAACTTGATTTACTAATAGGGCAGTGGGAGGTTCTCGATAAGTGGTACAGTAGCCAGAAGAAAATTTACCTGTGGCTCCATGTATTGTATAGCAACTGTAGTTACCTGGTGTAACAGATCACCTGGCACCCCGACTGGGTACCTCCGTTGAAGAATGCTCCTAGCGCTTCCTGAGGACTCCAAGCACTGCAGCAGACACCACAATCACCACAGACTCCACAACCGCCATAGCTTAACTGGAGCCTCGCCGTCTTCCGTCCACCCTGGATCCGCGTTTGTCCTCCAGGACCATGTGGGAAAGACCTCTTCCTTCCACCCTGTATGAACCTCCAGCATCCGAGATTGTGTGGGGAAGATCTCTCCTCCAAGGAGAGCGTGTCAGGAACAAGTTCTTAAAAGAGCTAAATGATTCAAGCTCAGGGGAGTATGCAGAGCATAGCAATCCCCAGTGTGATTATAACATCTCCCTCCAATAACGAGACAAGGCTACGTTTAGGGGGATCAAGAACTGTCTAAACCTTTATTTCCCTTGGGACCAGCCCATAGGGTCACAACATTAACATTGCTGTGAAAACTCAATAAAATCACAAACAGTCAAACCATAGCAGGCAACACACAGTGACTTATCACAACACAATGGCACATTTTTAAAGGGGTAGGGGAGACAATATTTAACAGAAAATATCTCACGTGCACTTTGTGGTCTGTAGCCCCATGGTCAGCCCGTATTCCAACCCGCTGCTTTCCAGGTACTTCAATGATGTCCCCAACGGTCATCTGTTACACAAATATATGGGTCCTTTTTATTTGGTATGTCTTTGTATATTGCTGAGTGTTGTGATTGTGGAAAAGTACAAGAGACAATATCACAGTAATCAAAGGTAAAAGTAGCTACGTGTGTGAAGAATTATACCAAAATGTGTAAACATGATTGTCTTTGGTAATAGCAACTTGTTGGGCCTTTAATAGGCCTCAGAGCAGTAATAGGAACAGGAAGCTCATGATTTGGCGGAATCTGCTTCCTCTGGATCAGGAACTTTCTTGCAGTGCGAGGTGTGTATCCAGGTATTCTTCCCGGCCAACTTTACAGAGGTAGATGTAGTCAATAGGACTTGGAATGGACCATCGAACCTTGGCTCAAGAGTGTGTTTTCTTAGGAACTTCTTGACCATGACCCAGTCACCAGGAAGTAACTTATGCGTGCCTGTATTTGACTCTGGATCTGGAATAGAAGAAAACACCTGTGCATGGATTTTGGTCAAGGCATGAGAGAGTGCAGTTATATAATCTACCATTGCATCCTTAGCGGCCTGGTCGGCTAAATGGTTGCCATGTGCTTCTTCTGAATTTAGTCTCCCGTGGGCCTTTACCTTCAGTATGGCCACCTCTTCAGGAAGTAGTAAGGCATCCATCAATTCTTTGATAGCTGCGCCATGTTTCACAGGAGTACCTGTTGCTGTAAGGAACCCCCTGGTATTCCAGATTAAGCCAAAGTTATGTGCCACGCCCAGGGCATACCTTGAGTCTGTGTAAATATTAACAGGCTTCCCTTCAGACATCTTGCATGCCACCGTAAGGGCTATTAGTTCGGCTTCTTGTGCTGACTTAGATGATGGGAGTGAAGATGCTTGGAGTATTTGGTCCTCTGTGGTGACTGCATATCCGGTATGATATTGTCCCTGCACATCTGCGAATCTAGAACCATCCACAAACAGAGTGTAGTCAGGGTCAGGTAGAGCAGTCTCGTGCCCTGTTGGAAGATGGGTTGTTTCCATTGTTTCCATTTTCATCTGTTCAAAGCAATCATGAGGGGCATCCGGGTCCTGTTCTGTGGGAGGAATGTCTTCACATATCTCTGTGTGATATCGAGGGTAACCGACAGTTTTGCAATTTATGGTCCTTTTAGTGACCCCCGTCACTGTGAGTTGTTCTTGAGTTGCAGTACTCCACGTCTTTACTATTGGGCCGAGTTCTTTCCATGAGAGATCTGGAGACTTGGTGAAAGAGATATGAGGAACACCCATCTCCCAATGGTGATATAAGTGTGATACCTCCATAGGCAGCTAGACTAAGATAACAATGTTTCCTTTGGAGTCACAGAACAGGTCTGTCAGTGTGATGTGTATTTCCACCAGGCTGAATAATTCTTCTTCATAGTATGGGTCAGGACCTGAGGTATCTCTGAACCACAGGGTGCAATGTAATTGGCTCTCGGGCTGTTCATCATGTGGAACTGTGGGCTTTTCTACTTGAAGTTCCATGTGAACATCAGGATTTATCTCCAGGCTGTACCATTATTGCGGCACTCCCCCATTGGGAAGTGGCAGAAGAGTGGCCAGATTCAAGGAGTAACATCTCTGTAAAGAAACGTTATCAGGCAAGAGGAGGGAGGTTTGAAAGCGGAGATGTCTCTGAGATGAGAGATGCTTTGGCTGGACTTCAGGATTGCAGCTATATCATGGGGAGCAAGAACCGTCAGTTTATGTCCGAGAACAAAGTCATTAGTTTTGTGCAGTAGGGCACTTGCAGCAAAAACAGCACGCAAACAGGAAGGACCACCCCTGGCCATGGCGTCTAGCATGCAGGAAAAGTACCCAATAGGGCGCTGACGGGAACCTTGGGATTGAGTAAGGACCCCTGAAGCATGGCCCTTCTTTTCTGAGACGAAAAGTTTGAACGGTAGCTGGTAGTTAGGTAGGCTCTTTGAAGAGCATGGTAACAGGTGCGGGCTGTAGAGGACAATGAAAAAGGTTCAGTCTTTAAAGCATCGCAGAGAGTGTAACGGATCACCTGGCACCCCGACTGGGTACCTCCGTTGAAGGATGCTCCTAGCACTTCCTGAGGACTCCAAGCACTGCAGCAGACACCAAAACCACCGAACCGTAGGAGCATATGAATGCTCTCAAGCATATGAATGTTGTATACAGCCGAATAGGAAAAACCATGCGAATAGGTTTACACTCCTAGCAGTCAAACTGGAACAGCATACAATAAATCCTCCCCCAATAATGAGACGACACTTCACTTTGAGGGTTAAGCAGGAACTAACTGTACTGGCACATATAGCCTCTTTTATTCCCAATCCACAAACTTAGTACTGCCCACAGGGTTTTACAGAAAAACCAATCAATCTGTACAATACACACAGACACTCCCACACAAAATCCTCCCCTCTGCCTGTAATACAATTACCTTATACAATGGGTAATCTAATTATCACAGACAGAGAAATAAAACAGTTTCATAAAACACATCACAGGGACCCCAAATCATGTCTTTAAAGGGCAATACATCCCAGGGGCCATAGTCACATGGCAGGAGGCTGGCAATCAGTCTTCTCCAATGCCCAGTGGCGAGGTCGGTTTCGCCACATTTCTCCACTTTCCCAAAAAGACTAACAAGGTATCTGACCTCCTGTCGGTCAGTGCCTTGGTTAGTCCAGCAACCCACCCACAAAACAGAATCCGCAGTATAACCCACCCACGAAAATTGGTTACTACACCTGGAGTAGTGGGTCACTTGTCCAGGTCCAGGAGCTCCACCTTGGCTCTGGGGGGTACTAGCACTCTGGATCGATGGGTTGCTGGGTGGGCAGAGACCAGCGGTACTCTGCCCTGGTGTCAGCGCTACCACGGGAGTAGCCTGGTTGGAGCCCAGGTGAGGGAATGGCGTAGTAGGATCCTCCCGCTGGACCTGGTGTTGCTGCTGGAGGGGCAGACAGGCTGTCTCCCCTTTGGATATACAGCTCTGCTGCTGGGGGACAGGACCGACCGTCCCTACCCCCTGTGGTTTGGGCACAGAGACCACGGTCCCATCTGCACCGGTGTGGGGCTTATCCTCTCCCCTTGGTGGGCTAGGCTGCCACTGTGGAGGGGGAACGAGACTCTCCCCTCCCGGTAGAATTCTCTGCCGCTGTGGAGCAGGACCGACTGTCCGTACTCCCGGTAGCTTGGGCGCAGAGACCACGGTCCCAACTGCGCTGGTGGGGGGCTTAGTGTCTCCCCATGGTGGGCTACGCTGCCGCTGGGGAGAGGGGGTATTGGTCTGGTTGACCTTTTTCAGTTTTCTTCTTTACTGGAAATAGAGGGGTGTTACACTGAGATACACACTTGACTAGTGCACCTTTTGCCAACAGGCTATCAACTTGATTGGAGATGGCGAGAGCTTGTGCAGTTTTCAATGGGTACTTTGGTCTTCGTGGTGGATTAACTCCCTTAATTAGTATAACCACCACAGGCGGGACTTGTAGGCGTCCAATATCATCTGGGCCCGTGGACCAAAGTTTAGTTGGAACCCTGTCCAGGGCACAGGGGGCGTCTGGGACCCTCACTTCCTCGGTGGGGGATGTCATTATTATTATGATATTTATAGAGCGCCGTCAAATTCCGCAGCGCTTTACAATGGGTGGACGAACAGACATGTAGTTGTAACCAGACAAGTCGGACACACAGGAACAGAGGGGTTGAGGGCCCTGCTCAATGAGCTTATATGCTAGAGGGATTGGGGTAAAATGACCCAAAAAGGTAAGGATAGTATTAGACTAGTGACAGTTGCAGAAGAGGAATCAGTCAGGAGCTATTAACAGTTTAATTGATACGCTTTTATGAAGAAGTGGGTTTTTAACGATTTTTTGAAGGAGTGGAGACTGGGTGAGCATCTAACGGAGGAGGAAAGCAAGTTCCACAGGAACGGTGCAGCCCTCGAGAAATCTTGAAAGCGAGCATCAGAGGTGGGAGGCGGACAGTGTGAACTTCAAAAGAAGAAAAGGATAGGGCAGGCGGAGTTATGATTGGTTGAAAGGTACATTGAGGGGAGAGAAGGATGCCTACACCGCCTCCTCTACAGTTGAGTCTGGGAGTGTGAGAGAATTGTAGCCCACCAAAACATAAAGAGGCAGGAGTAGCGCTGTCAGAGGGGGACAGCCAGGTCTCTGTAAGTGCAAGCAGTGTGAGTGAGTTTGAGATGAAAAAGTCGTGTATGGTTGTTGATTTTAAATTACCGCAGTTGGAGCGGGCATTCCAGAGTGCACAATTAATTTTGGTAAGTGAGGGTAAAGGACAGGGTATTGTGATGAGGTTTGTGGGGTTTCTGGTTGTCTTAGTGTGTGTAGAGAAGGTGAAGGGCCCTGGATTGGGAGAGACATCAACAGCTTCTAGAAGTAGGAGGAGAGAAAGTGACAGGAGGTGTGAATGGGTTTTGTATGCATGGGGTCTAAGATGAGATTGATTGTGTCGATTGTAGTAGTAGGGGCAGAGAGCAAAGGACGGAAGTATCTTTGCGAGAAAGGGGGGTTAGTAATTGAACCTGGCCATCAGCAGTAAAGGAGATGGAAGCTTGAAGACGAGACAGAACATCTGCTCCTAAGAGGTTAATTGGACAGGTGGATGAGACAACAAACCGAGAGAGAATGTCAGAACCAGCCCGAAAGAGCTTGGTTAATGGGTTGTTTCTGGGGGTGGGGTACCATCAACACCTACACATGAAACATCTGTGTCGGATAGGTAAGAAGGGTCAGGCAGGTCTTGTTCTCTGAGAACACTGCGGGCTGCACCTGTGTCAACTAAGAAGGTAGTAGGATGACCCTCAACTGGTAGGACAACTGTATCTAGGGGTCCCCCCATGTCCCCTGTAGACACGGCCATGACAGGGGTGTTAGACATAGGTTTGCCGGTTACCTATTGTACAGGGTCTAGATGAGATTGATTAGGGCCAGTGTAATGACGTGCTGGTGTGGAGGAGTAGCTGGCCTGATGGGTTTGACGTGTAGGGCGATAATGACTCGGTGCTGGGTGATCATCTTGTTGGAAATCATCTGTATCTTAACTATCAGGGGAAGGGTGAGCATAGTTGCGGGGTGGGGGGTGAGTATTAGATTGAGAGGGTTGGTAGACATCTTGGGCATATTCCTGAGGAGGGTAATACGATGCATGTGCCTGAGGATATACCTGAGGAGGTTAACCTGGTTGGAGACCACCAAACGTGGCCGCAGGGGCATTGGGGTACATGGGGGGTCTAGTGGTCGGCTGTCTAGGCACCCTGGGGTGTGGGCAACCTCTCCGGAAATGGCCTGGTTGGTTACAATTAAATCATGCCCTGGTCTGAGGCCTAGGTGTCATGTGCTGCCCCTGTGCGGCTGGCAGGGTGGATAGCGTGGGATAACCTGGGGGCACCTGGGCGGGTCTGGTGGCAGGGCTATAAACGGAAAACATGAGAGGATTACTTTTCCTTTGGGGTGGCTTTAGAGCAGATTCTAGGGCCTTTGCAACTAGTAAGAGAGTGTCCAAAGGAATAATTCTGTATTCGGGGCGAGAAAGTACTAAGCCTTTCCTGATGGCTTCCTTAAGGCCAGCCACAAAGGCAGCGGATAACATCTGGGTATGTTCCTTGTTATATACACTGAATCCAAGATCGGAGAAAGTTTGAGTCAACCTTGAATGGTATTTTTCCACAGATTCGAGTTTCCTGTACAATATCATTTATACAAGTGGCTTGGTCAGCTAGTTTATCTTGGGCCCAGGCCCGAAGCTGTTCACAGAATGTAATACCTGACTGGTAATCCATATCGGTAGTGAGGAGAGCATCATTAAAACTCCTTTCCATAATGGGCCAATAGGCATCCCCAGCCTTGATCTCACACAGACTATATAGATCACGCCAGGCTGCTGAGTATGTCTTACGAATCTGGGCAACCCTCCGGAAGAAGGGCATGGGCGTCGGGGAGAGAGGTTACTAGGGTTGCAGCTTGGGATGGGTTGAACGTAACATACATCGGGGGAGCCCCTTCCACTAGTGATAAAGCAGGGATGTGGTTGGCTGGGGTTGCCTGTCTCTGGGAAACACTATTATTCGAAGGACGGAATGGACTAAGCCCTTGACCATGAAAGCTGGCAACATCTGGTGAATTATGGGCTTGAGCAGCTGGAGCATCGGAGCCAGGAGAACCGACAGCGATGGCCTGGGGGGTAACTAACTGGGAGGTAGCGGGATGGAAGCCTGACGCGGCAGGAGAAGCGCCTACAGCATGAGGCTGTCCCGACACGGTAGATTCATTCGACCCAACGATCATGATTGGGTAACTGGGAGTTGCCATGGGAGAGGCGGGGACAGGAGTCGAACTGGGTGAGGGTGCGGGCTGAGTAGGCTGAGGGAGATGAGTGGAGAGGGTGGAGATGAGTGACGAAAGATCGAGGGAGGGAGGGACAACAGGATTAGAGGCGGGAAGAGGAGGGGAATCTGAAATGGGACAGAAGGGGTGGTGGGGAGAAGAGAGGGAATAGCAAGGGAAGCAGAGAGGGCGGAAATGAGTGACTGAAGATCGAAGGAGGGAGGGGTAACAGGATTAGAGGCTGGAAGAGGAGGGGAATCTGGAACAGGGACAGAAGGGGTGGTGGGGAGAGGAGAGGTAGGAGCAGGAGTAGAGGGAATAGCAAGGGAAGCAGAGAGGGTGGAAATGAGTGACGGAAGATCGAAGGAGGGAGGGGTAACAGGATTAGAGGCTGGAAGAGGAGGGGAATCTGGAACTGGGACAGAAGGGGTGGTGGGGAGAGGAGAGGTAGGAGCAGGAGTAGAGGGAATAGCAAGGGAAGAGGGGGATATGGATGCGACAGGGGGAACAACTAGTGAAGGCAAGAGGGGAACAGGAGCAGAAGGAACGACAGGGAGAGGAACTAGAGGGGTGTCAGGGGAGGCAACACATAAAGGAGCAGGAATAGGAGGAATGACGGGAAGATGGGAGAGGGGTGGTGTCGGAAGAAGTGATGGAGGGAGGTAGCAGAGGGACGGCATCAGTAGCGACAAGGGAAGGTGGAAGAGGGGCGGGATTGGAGGGAAGTGGGAGGGGGACAGGAATAATGGCAAGTGTGGAGGTAGGCGGGAGAGGGACAGGGTAATAATAGGATCCATCCGCCCTGAGAACGGGGTACAGAGGGGTGGGGACAGAAGGGCCTATGACAATTGCAGGTGGCGACTGGGCAGTGACTGGGGAGGCGGGGTGAGATTCATTCACGGTATTCTGGACGCCATCATAGGGCGGTGGCAGGGGAACCTCAAGAGACGAATCATCATTACAAACATTTCTGTGATATATATAAATCGTTTGTGCTTCAAAATCTATTTCTTCCTCTGACTAATGCTCCCGCTTGAGTCCTCTTGCTACCCGATACCAAGCCTCTACGGCTTTCGTCAACCCATTATCCAATAGCAAGCCCTCTTTATCATAAGCAATTTCCTCCAAAACTCTGGCTGTAATCTACCACTGGGTGACATTTGAAAACCACAAATCTTTGCTATCTTCTTTATTTTTAACATAGCCTCTTCTCCTGCTCTCTACTTAAAGGACCACTATAGTGCCAGGAAAACATACTCGTTTTCCTGGCACTATAGTGCCCTGAGGGTGCCCCCACCCTCAGGGTCCCACTCCCGCCGGGCTCTGGAAGGAGGAAAGGGGTTAAAACTTACCTTTTTCCAGCGCTGGGCGGGGAGCTCTCTGCCTCCTCTCCCCCTTCGATCCGCCCTGTCGGCTGAATGCGCACGCGCGGCAAGAGCTGCGCGCGCATTCAGCCGGTCGCATAGGAAAGCATTTACAATGCTTTCCTATGGGCGCTGGCGTGCTCTCACTGTGAAAATCACAGTGAGAAGCACGCAAGCGCCTCTAGTGGCTGTCAATGAGACAGCCACTAGAGGCTGGATTAACCCATTTGTAAACTTAGCAGTTTCTCTGAAACTGCTATGTTTATAAAAAAATGGGTTAACCCTAGAAGGACCTGGCACCCAGACCACTTCATTAAGCTGAAGTGGTCTGGGTGCCTAGAGTGGTCCTTTAACAATATCGCAAGCTAAATAGCCTTTGGAAGGTCTGGCATGTTCTTGTCCCATTTTTATTAAACAAGACTTTCCATGTAAGAGGGACAGAGAGAGAGAGAGAGGAAAAAGAAGGAATGTCTACAGTGCTCGACTGCCAAGAGGAATTGATCCCCGTGCGTCTTCCCTAAACGTAGACTAGTCACAGGATCCGCCCACCCGAGATGGTGGCCACGGATCTGAGCGAGCGAGCATGGGTGATTAACACAGCTCTGGGCAACAAGTACAGGAGAGGTAGAGGATGAGGGAAAAGGTGAACGTGGAGAGACTAAGCAGAAGACATTTACAGGAGTCACAGATGTAGAGATGTGCACATAATCCGGAATCAAGGACAAGCCACACAGCACACACAACTAGGGTACCCACACTATGACTACAACTGAATAGAAAACATAATATAACAAAGAACAGTAAAACTACGAACATAGTACTAACTAAACAGTAAATTAACCCTGTTCTACTCTGAGCAGTACAGCAAAATTCCCAGCCTTTCTCTAGGCGGATGCGTTCCCTGCCCGCTAGACAGTCAAGCTACAATAAATCCCCAGCCTTTCTCTAGGCGGTTCCCAGCCCTTTACCGGGCGGACAATACTCCCAGCCTTTCTCTAGGCGGTTCCCAGCCCTTTACCGGGCGGACAATACTCCCAGCCTTTCTTTAGGCGGTTCCCAGCCCTTTACCGGGCGGACCATGCTCCCAGCCTTTCTCTAGGCGGTTCCCAGCCTTTTACCGGGCGGACAATGCTCCCAGCCTTTCTCTAGGCGGTTCCCAGCCCTTTACCGGGCGGACAATGCTCCCAGCCTTTCTCTAGGCGGTTCCCAGCCCTTTACCGGGCGGACAATGCTCCCAGCCTTTCTCTAGGCGGTTCCCAGCCTTTCTCTAGGCGGTTCCCAGCCCTTTACCGGGCGGACAATGCTCCCAGCCTTTCTCTAGGTGGTTCCCAGCCCTTTACCGGGCGGATGCGTTCCCTGCCCGCTAGGCAGTCAATAATGATAATAAAGCATAAACCACACATCCGCTGTCTCACACGCATACATACACTCAGGAGGCAGATAGATATATAATAATTTAATAGTAATATAATATGTAAAAATAATAAATTATAATAATAAGTAATAATAATTTAATAATAAAAATTCATTAGATTTTGTGTGAGGAGAAGCTGCACTGGGACTCGTCTCATGGAGGTGATATAATAATATATAATATAATTTAATAAGAATATATATAATAATTTAATATATAATTAATTATAATATATAATTATATATAATATATTTAATAATAATAATTTATATTTTGTGAGGAGGAGGAGGAGGAGAAGCTGCACTGGGACTCGGTCTCAGGGAGGTGATATAATAATATAATGTAATAATGTATAATAATATAATATTTAATAATAATAATTTATATTTTGTGAGGAGGAGGAGGAGGAGAAGCTGCACTGGCACTCGGTCTCAGGGAGGTGATATAATAATATAATGTAATAATGTATAATAATATAATATTTAATAATAATAATTTATTTTTTGTGAGGAGGAGGAGGAGAAGCTGCACTGGCACTCGGTCTCAGGGAGGTGATATAATAATATAATGTAATAATGTATAATATAATATTTAATAATAATAATTTATTTTTTGTGAGGAGGAGAAGCTGCACTGGGACTCGGTCTCAGGGAGGTGGTGACGTCACCGCCCCCCCTCCAGTCAGGTAATCATTGCGGGTCAGAGCTGACAGAGCGCGCTGATTGACAGCTCCCCCGGGCCAATCAGGCTCCGTCCTCCCCGATGTCCTGGTCACGTGCACGGTGGGCGGTCCCGGAAGCGGCCCGCGGCCCAGTCAGAATGCACCACGAGCCGTTGCCTCGGTGATATAAAGCGCATGCGCGCAGCGCGGGCTCACAGCGCCACGTCCCGTACACCGGATCCGTCACGATGCGCCCCGTACTCGCCCTGTGCCTGCTCGCCCTGCTCGGAGCCCGCGCCGACATCGCGGAGGAGAACGACGTGCTGGTGCTGAGGAAGGACACGTTCGACCAGGCCCTGCAGGCGCACAAATACCTTCTGGTGGAATTCTGTGAGTGTTCCAGGGCAGTGAGAGCCAGGCCTCGGAGGGTCCCCGGGCTGGCCTGCTCCCCCACACCGCTCTCCGGGGCCCCTCGGGCGGACACTGAGTCCCTCCCTCCCCCGGTCTGAGCCAAAGCGCTCTCAGCCAATGGGCGCGCGAGTTGGTGGCAGGCAGCCAATCAGCGCCAGGGGGCGTGGCCGGCGGCTTGGGCTGGGTTTTATAAGTTTGGTTGACGTGTACTTGGCGGCGTAGGCATGTCCCCCCTCCCCCTTATACCACAACTACTGCAGGTCCCTCCCCCCCTTATACCACAACTACTGCAGGTCCCCCCCTTATACCATAACTACTGCAGGTCCACCCTTATACCATAACTACTACCCCTCCCCCACTGTGTACTATAACTACTACCCCCCTACTGCAGGCCCCCTTATACCATAACTACTGCAGGCCCCTTTTATACCATACCACTGCAGGCCCCCTTATACCCTATGCCTATACCATAACTACTGCAGGTCCCTCCCTTATACCATAACTACTGCAGGTCTCCTTATACCATAACTACCTGCCAACCACTGCAGGCCCCCTATATACCATAACCACTGCAGGTCCCCTCCTATACCATAACTACTACCCCTCCCCCACTGTGTACTATAACTACTGCAGGTCCCCACTTATACTATAACTTCTACCCCTCCCTCAGCCTGTCCCCTATACTATAAGTACATGTCCCCCTTTTACTATAACTACTCCTCCTCCCCAGCTTGCCTTATACTATAACTACCACCCTTCCAACTACAGGGCCCCTTAAACTGTACCTCTTATACTAAAACTACAATACCTCCTCCAGCTACAGGGCCCCTGTAACTACCACCCCTTCCCTCAATTACAGGACCATGTCCTCCCTGAATCTGCTACTTATACTATAAATTACTTCTCCTTCAACTACAGGGCTATGCTCCCTTGTATTATAGCTACCACCCCTCTCTGAACTACTAGTCTGTCCAATATGAAACTGCTCCCCTTATATTATACCTTCCTACCCCTCCAACAGAAACTCCCTCCTGAAAAACTGCCACCTTTTGTAGTGTACCTTCCAACCCTAACTAATTCCCCTATGTAGTATAACTCCCATTTTCCCCAGGTCCCCTTTGAAACTGCACCCCTTCCATGTCCCCCTAAAACTGCCCTTTCTGCCATACCCGTGTGCAGTGTTTGGGTCATTTCCCCCCATGATACTGGCCCCCTTGTAGTATACTTCCACACTGTCACCCTTAAAACAGCCCGTCTTGAAATATACCTTACCATCCCTTCCCTAAGTGCCTAAAACTGCCACCCTTCTACTATAACTCCCGACACTGACACCTTGTACTATACATCCCCACTGATGCTGAATGTGTTGAGTTAGACATGTGGCCTATGAAACTGCTCCCCTTATGGAATACTCCGTCAGGTGCCCCCTTGTAGTATACCTACTAACCCTTCCCCAAGTGCCATGTCCTCCTTGAAACTGCTATTCTTCTACTATATTGACCCAAACTGCCCCCTTGTACTATAACTCTCAAAAGTGCACGACACTGTCCCCTAAATCTGTCATCAATCATGCCTGCTGTCATAGCCTTACAATTTAATGTTTGATATTGTTAAAGTAATGCTGTCTTCACCCATTTTTAGATCCAGCAGTTACCCCAGCTGTTCCAGACCTCCAACTAGTATTAGTTTTGTCAAATCAGCATTGGAGCTGGAACAGTCTTGTCCACCCCTAGAGTAAGGGGTTGTGTAGGGTATGTTAGAATTTGCGGTATGTATTATTAAACCCAGTACTTTTATTTATTTATTGGACCTATTTCAGGTAGCACTAACTTCCCATTTAATGCTAATTGTGATGGTGAAATTAATAGATGGCTAATCTGGCACTCTTGTCAACTAGCTGAACAGCTTACATGCCAAAAGTATCAGCTATAGTAGTTGGTCATAAACTGCTGCTTTGCTTGATCAATTGTGGAAACTCGTGTGTTCTTGTTTCTTGAAATACAAAATTACTGGAGTTCAAAGTAACAGATTGTATTTCTGGTGTATGCCATGTAGCTTGTATGAGCATTTGAACCTGTGTCTACATGTTGCACGGATCCTTGTCCATGGATGCTCACAACGTTGTTACTCTATATTGGCACCAGTGGGAGGTCGTGGTCTACTTTTGGTCCTAGCGTTCTATGCATTAATAGGAGAGGGCTATTGTACCTATTAGAACATGCTCCAGATATGCTTTCAGTAGATTTCTAAGGGAGTCATTAGGACTGGGGTTGTGTGCATCAGTCTTTCTATAGCTTGATGGAATGTCTGGCATGTGGTACAGTGTTGGCAGCCTGGAAATATAGGTCCTTTAATAGAGCACCTCATTGGTAAAGGAAAGCACAGCAGGGAGTGAAAAATGCAAACTTGTTCGTAACATGCACATCTGTTTTGGGTAACTTTGTAATGAACATGCAAGTATTGATTGTGAACCTAGATCAGATGCTTGTTGGTTTTCCAGTTCTCAGTGAAACCTTTAGTGGCAGTTGAACTTTGCTTCCTGCAGGAATGCCCAACATGTTCTATGGCTGTACAAAGAATATTGTGTAATCAGGTCTGAGATAAAATGCTTAGTCCCCACCCCATATTAATCATAATCCTGTAACTTGCAACATGACAGCTGATATGAAATGAGTGACTTACTATGCTTGGTAAAGGGCATTTTTAAAATGTCTGTGTGCAATTTGCAGATGCCCCTTGGTGCGGTCACTGCAAGGCATTGGCACCAGAGTACGAGAAGGCAGCTGGAATTCTAAAAGGAGATGGATCAGAGATACGATTGGGCAAGGTGGATGCCACAGAAGAGGCAGACTTGGCACAGGAGTTTGGTGTTAGAGGCTATCCAACAATCAAATTCTTCAAAAATGGAGACAAGAAGTCACCCAAAGAATATTCAGGTAATTATGTTTCTTTTAATTTATTTTGAGTTAATTTTAGACATCTTTATATGCATCAGTGTAAATGGCTTGTGAATGCTCTTTAAAGGGTCCTGTTAAAGCTTCTGATTTAAGACCAAGCCTGGGTAGAGTCTTTGTAAGTAAATTCTGATTTATGTGGATTTGTAATGCCCATCTGGTTCTGATGCAGCTGGCAGGGAGGCGCCGGACATTGTCAACTGGCTGAAGAAGCGTACGGGTCCAGCTGCCACAACATTGAGTGATGAAGCAGCTGTGACTGCTCTTGTGGATGCCAACGAAGTTGCGGTTATTGGTTTCTTTAAGGTATGGAATTAAACACAATTTCGATGGGGGGGGGGGGTCTTAAATAAATGGGGTTTGTAGTTCTAAGACAGCGGGGATTCTGCTTTTGGGTTCACCTGTTCTATATGAGTCTTTAGGAGTTTAGCTTGCTAAATGGTTCCAGAATAGATCAAATCCACAAATATACTGTAAAACCTTCCAAGACCATAACCACTAAAGCTTGTTATTAAACCTGGAAGGAAGTTACAAGTGCTGCATGATTTGACCTTCACGTTGGTTAGCTATTTTAGCTGTCTTAATAGACTTAATCGTAGGGAAAGCTTTAACCTACATGCATTCCTGACCCTATAGTGTTAAACACAATCTAGCCCCCATTGCCCCTCCTAATATAGTAAAATCTTTCCTATAGTCCAGTTTGCTGGTGCTGGCTCTACCCCTGATCTGCTTCCTTGGCAGACTTCAGAAGTGACTCAGCCAATCACAATGATTTGACATAGGAAGATTGTCAATTCTGATTATCTCAGCCAAGGAGGCGGAGCCAAACACCACCCTGGCCAGTCAGCATCTCAGATGCACTGAATCACTGCCTCTCTGAGGAAAACTGTGTCTCCATGCAGAGGGTGGAAACACTGAATGCCAGTGCTGCAGTGTGTAGAACTACTCCAGGATGCATCTCTAGCAGCAATCTGAACAGACCTTTTCCTACAAAAAGCATGCAGGGGCAGGCTATGCTTGCCAGGACAACATTAAGCTGTAGTTGTTTTGGGGACTATGGTGTCCCTTCTCAGAATGGAATGATAATGGTCTGATAGGAATGGTCTTACATGATTCAGATCTCCAGATGTAGCAATAACAAATTGCTTTAAACAAAGGAGTAATTATGCAAATACTGATTGCTGACTAAGATGGCTCCTCCCAGGAGTGGCTTTAAAATAATTTGAGTGAATTAATTAGATGGTGGTTGCTTTTTTTCCTTTAGTGACTCACTATACAGAACTTTAACACTGTAACTTCTTAACATCCTGTCATGTAGCCCAATATCATGCCTGTGGAGGGTTAACTATATTAGACTTGTCTGATATTGAACCTGCATAGAAAACTGAAGAGAGCATTCTTGTTTCTTTCACACAGAAGATCTGCATGTTTATATTACTCAAACCAGAAGGTTTCTCCTGTGATCCCATGCCGAGGCAATGTTCTCCCTAAAGCCTGATCTTATATCAAAGCACATCCACCATTTCTGTATGAAGTAATGTACATAGACTCCAAGCACCATGACCACTTCAAATAACTATAGTCATGGTGTTTGGAGTAACCCTTTATAGGTCCAGTAAAGTAATCCAGACCACTTCTGCCCAATGAAGTGGTCTCGTCTCATGAACCCTACAATGTAATAAATGACCGCTTTGTAGAAATGGTAGTGTTTACATTGCTGTGCTCCTGAGCTAGGACTGTTCTACAGAGCATATCATCCCTTCTAATGACATGAAGTTTTCAGCAGTAATTGCTCTATGGGGACAGGAACAGATATTTGTATGTGTACATGCTTCCAAAATTGCATACAATGTATAAGATCCAGTGATATTTCTCATGCAGGATACCGAATCTGACCTGGCAAAGGTCTTTGTGCAAGCTGCAGAATCTGTAGACGACATTCCATTTGGAATCAGTTCCAGTGATGATGCTTTCTCTAAATATGAGATTACAAAAGATACAATTGTCCTCTTCAAGAAGGTGAGGTGTGATGACATAAGCTAGTCTGAGCAAATTGTCTGGTTTAATAGTTTAAGGGAAAGAATCAATCTTGACAAACTAGTTCTTTATCCAGCAACTGACTCTTAAATTTCTGTAAAATGCCTGTCCTGCAGATCTTATATGAAGCAGAACAGGGGTTGACATTTTTGCTTTATTGAGGACTTAAGAAAAAAGCAGAAATAGCCCTGAAACAGGGACTATAAAGTGTGCCCTGAAAATATCCAAAAAAGGGGGTAATCCTAAATATACACTGGCAAAGAAAGAGAGATCCTTGGACAAAATGTCCAGGATACACAGGTTGGATATATCAGAGAGGACTGTTACTAATAAAAACCATAAATTTTAAAAATCATAAACAAAAAATAAATAAAACAAACATAACCCCATAAAGATGAAAAAATAAATAAAGCTCAAAGGGCTAGAAAGGGAAAACCAAATAGAAGGGCAATATCAGAGGTAATTGCTCCTATGTGGCATCTATACCATATAAGAATGATCTATAATGTCTACTAAATAGAACTCCCTAATGCACAATCTCTCAATAATAGTCCTAAAAGGAGTAATATCTGCACTATAAAGACATAGGCTAGATCTGTAAATACTCTGGTCCCAAATGTAACAAAACTCAAGGATTAGTAACACTATAGGTAAATAGTGATCGGCACAGATTAACAGCTATTGGGAAAGAGTTCCCCCTACACTGTTACACATATTAGCCAAAGCCTTTCCACTGCTAATCCTATATGTAAAGTTATGAAATCATAGAGGAGGTTAAGTCCCTTACAGAGCTATGTTTAATAACTGCTTAAAGGACCACTCTAGGCACCCAGACCACTTCAGCTTAATGAAGTGGTCTGGGTGCCAGGTCCTTCTAGGGTTAACCCATTTTTTCATAAACATAGCAGTTTCAGAGAACGACGGGGCGGATCGGAGGAGGCAGAGAGCTCTCCGCCCAGCGCTGGGAAAAAGGTAAGTTTAACCCCTTTCCAGAGCCGGGCGGGTGGGGGCACCCTCAGGGCACTATAGTGCCAGGAAAACGAGTATGTTTTCCTGGCACTATAGTGGTCCTTTAAATTCCCCATAAAATAAACCACTAAATAAACACCCAAAAAAGAGTGCTGAAAATAAAGGTGATGTGGATTTAAAAAATCATCCTAACGTGTTTTGGCGCTTAAACCTTTTTTTTTTTGTCTGTGCACAAGATGACACCAGAGGTTGTCGCCACGACAACATTTGTGTATAGTAGGAACAGCATAATAAACAATATATACATAGCGTGGAACAGAGGCACAGTTTTGATATTACATTAACTTGTATAAAATGATGGTGCGTAGTAGGGGTCTGCAGTAATCGTGTGGTCAGGCCAAGGTTGTTTGAGACAGTCCACAAGAGCTGTTATAGAGCTAGTGTCCGTGTGGGTCATGTCTATCTAGTAGCCTGTCCTGATCATCCCTTCAGGCGGGGTATGGGTATAGGGCCGTTGCAGTTATGTGCTACTGATTTTGAAAGGTAATTATGATGATCACAATCGCATGTGGTGGGGCCAATCATTGGCTCCCTCTCTCTATTGAGGGTCATGCTGTAAGCCTCCAATGGCGCTAGTATGAGTCCCCCTTATTGGGTTCTGGTGCTATTCTCAGTGTCCTGCCAGTTTCCGCCTTTTTTTGGGTGTTTAGTGGTTTATTTTATGGGGAGTTTAAGCCGTTATTAAACATAGCTCTGTAAGGGACTTAACCTCCTCTATGATTTTATAACTTTACATATAGGATTAGCAGTGGATAGGCTTTGGCTAATGTGTAACAGTGTAGGGGGAACTCTTTCCCAATAGCTGTTAATCTGTGCCAATCACCATTTACCTATAGTGTTACTAATCCTTGAGTTTTGTTACATTTGGGACCAGAGTATTTACAGATCTAGCCTATGTCTTTATAGTGCAGATATTACTCCTTTTAGGACTCTGTTATTGAGAGATTGTGTATTAGGGAGTTCTATTTAGTAGACATTATAGGCTTTATAGATCATTCTTATATGGTATAGACATAGGAGCAATTACCTCTGATATTGCCCTTCTATTTGGTTTTCCCTTTCTAGCCCTTTGAGCTTTTTTTCCCTCTTTATGGGGTTGTCTTTTATTTTTTGTTTATGATTAAAATGTATGGTTTTTATTAACAGTCCTCTCTGATATATCCAACCTGTGTATCCTGGACATTTTGTCCTAGGATCTTTCTTTTTTTTTTTTTTTATTGATGACTTCACTTGAACAGACTGCTGTTAATAACATTTTGATCTCTCAGCTGCTCTAGCTGGATATATAAACGGGAGTTGAATTCTGGAGTTTAGTCGCTCTGTTCTCCCATCATGCTGCGTTTATACTATACACTGCTGTGGTCATTCTCCATTCCCAGTAAGGAGAGGGAGGTTCTGAGAATTGATGGGTGGAAAGTTTCACTGATGTAACTTAGTTTGGCACAAGCCATGGACTCTTGTACATCTGCCCCATTTGTCAGCCTATCGACTGTTGGCATGCAGCTGCCTTTGTAACGCCTCTTGGTTCAACATGTCTCTACATTACTAAATAACTACGTGGGGCTTTGCTAATTGTTCTGAATATACAAGTTAAATGATCGCAAAATGACTTCAGGGGCAGATAGGGCACATGATTGCTCTATTGCGCTACACAAGTCATTGCTGTGTAAACAAGGCATTCCTTGGATCATTACGGTACAGGCTTAAATGTTTGCTTATCATAATTGTCTTAATCATCTGCTTGTCTTTGATCTTGCAGTTCGATGAAGGTCGGAATAACTTTGAAGGAGAAGTAAAGAAAGAGGAAGTCTTGAGCTTCATAAAGTCTAACCAGCTGCCTCTGGTTATTGAATTTACCGAGCAGGTGTGTTTTGTCGCAAAACTATGTCTTCACGTGTTTTTTGCCTATATTGGAGACTCTTATATGAACAGCATGTCCTTCTTTTTAGACTGCACCAAAGATCTTCGGTGGAGAGATAAAGACACACAATTTGTTCTTCCTGCCAAAAAGTTCCCCTGACTATCAAGAAAAACTTGACAATTTCAAGAAAGCTGCATCAAACTTCAAGGGAAAGGTGAGCCACGAGTTGACTTCTCTTTAATCAAGATAGTTACCATATTGTGAAACATGAATGCTCTATCACTATTCAAACCTATACAGATAATTAAAAGCTTTAACTTTCTTTGCAGATTCTCTTCATCTTCATTGATAGTGATCACACAGATAACCAGCGTATTCTGGAGTTCTTTGGTCTTAAGAAAGAAGAGTGTCCTGCTGTTAGGCTAATTACACTGGAGGAAGAGATGACCAAATACAAGCCTGAGTCAGATGACTTGTCTGCTGATAAAATCAAGGAATTCTGTGACCTGTTCCTGCAGGGCAAGATTAAGGTGAGTTTGGCTATTGGTGTCCTAGGCATGACATCCATAGGTGGTGGAAGCTGCCAGTGAGATTCCTTGTGGACAGTTCTTCTAGGGAACTTTTTTAATTGCATGGCCGCTGTCACCTTCAGACAAATTAGATTGGGTGCTGTATGTCGGTGCTCAGTAATTCCAGGCATAACAAAACATTGACCAATGTGATTCTGGTGTTAATGCCTCTTATGTCTCTCTAACTTAGCCCCATCTAATGAGTCAAGATATACCCGAAGATTGGGACAAGAGCCCAGTGAAAGTCCTGGTGGGCAAGAACTTTGAAGAAGTTGCCTTTGATGAGAACAAGAATGTGTTTGTTGAATTCTGTGAGTTCTAGATTTCTTTAGAATTAGAGGATTAGCCCCATTCTGCTTGGTTCTGTGCTTTACATTGTGTTGCTCATATTCCAGATGCCCCTTGGTGTGGTCACTGCAAACAACTGGCTCCAATCTGGGATCAACTAGGAGAGAAGTACAAGGACACAGATAATATTGTCATAGCAAAGATGGATTCCACAGCTAATGAGATTGAAGCTGTTAAAATTCACAGCTTCCCCACCTTGAAGTTCTTCCCAGCTGGGGCAGAGAAGAAGGTATGTAAAGACACTTTCCAAAACTCTAAATTCCTGTCATTAAACTCGTCTGTTTCACTGACCAGCTCTGCACTTTTAAAATCTAATTTAGGTGGTTGACTATAATGGAGAGAGGACACTAGAAGGATTCTCGAAGTTCTTGGAAAGCGGTGGGCAGGATGGTCAGGCAGATGAGGTAGGGGTTGTTTCAAACAAATTGTGATTACTGTTACTCTTTGGATCTGTCCCCAAAGTGCCTTAGGGAAGAACAATTTAACATTAATGAATGTTTGTTTATGGTGGAGTTCAAGAACTTGCAAGATTAAGCATTACACTAATCAAAAAATTGCAAATTTGTTTAATCATTCAATGTAAGGAAGCTGCAGATCTGAAACTTAGCTAAAGCTAATTTCAAGCTTGGCCATTTTGGCACAATGTGGCATTCAACACTTCACAAGCTAGTTGGTTTTTTTTTTTGGTTTTTTTACTTTTCTACTGCATATGATATGTTATGTCGATCAGCATATTTACCATTGCTGCCTAGGCTGTAAACGGAAATCTTAATCCTTGGATTTCATTTTTCCATCCAATGTTACTGACTAGTCTTTGACAAAACTAAAGTTTCTTCTGAGTGACCGCTAATGGTTATGCTATGACCTGCAGAACCTGTCTTAACAAGTGCATGGAGTGGGCTACAAAGATCTTGCCATTTTTAGAATAGAAAAGCATAATGGGAGTTAAAGAATCTGAGGGTCTAACCCCCGTGAATTACAGTAAACTAGGTTTATTGCCCAGTTAATTCACTAAAGCATTGGGTGAACATTGTCGAATGCCATGTGCTCTTAACAGTCAGGAATGAGAAATGTAAAATGGACACACTGGGGAAACTTTGTGGTATGCTACCAGGTGGCTTATGTAAACTGCATGTGACCCTTGGCACCGCACTGTAAACACTGGTAAAGCATTGCATGCTACCAGGGCATTCTTTTTATACATGGTGGTTAAACCCTGCCTAGGTTTACTTCAGAAACTATACCTTGAATGTGGTAGAGAATGTAAGTGCTGTTTCTAACTACTGCTCCTGTTGCAGGACCTGGAGGACTTGGAAGATGCAGAGGAGCCAGACTTGGAAGAGGAAGATGATCAGATAAAGAGAGATGAATTATAGGAATATGCAGTAATATTTCAGCAGCCAGAGGACACTAAGAGGGGCGGAGACAACACTCTACACTGTCGGAGCTCTGAATGCAGGGAAACTTTATTTTCATCAATCTGTATGTTAGGGTTTTTGGTTTGGGGGGATAAAGGGGCCTTGGTGTTAACGGTCAGCAGAGTTTATTTTTCACTGTGAGGTTTTTTTAACACTTGACTTTTTATTTTATTTTTTGATGTAAAGTTTGGCACTTGTTGTGGCTTCCTGTATTGTCCTATCTGTAACTTTATTGTGAGCTTTTTTTTTCCTGTAGCTGGATGAGACTTCCACGCATGGCTCGTTCCCCTTAAAGGACCTTGTTCCTTTTGGGCTCTTTTTCAATGTTTCTCCTGTAGCGGAAGCTGCTGGTATTCCCCCCTGCCTCCCCATTGCCCCAGTCCTTTTGGGTCTATACCCTATGGCCGTTATTTCAGTATTTGATGCAGTCAGGAGGAGCGGGAGAGCCTCCCAATCTTAACACTACTCAACTCCTCTGCAGTGTTCAGCCCTCACTAAATTTTCTGCGGTACAGCTTTGTATAAACGCAGCTGTTTTCTTGTCCTGTCCGCCGAGAACCATTTTCCGAGAGCAACTTTATGACACATTTGTCTATGGACACACAGTATGAGAATCCGTCTGAATGAAGAAACATTCCATCATTAAAGTTGGAACACAAAGTCTTGGCCAAATAAAAACAATTTTAATAAAATGATTGTCCCTTGTTTTGAAGTCTCTCTGCACAAAAGAAAACAGCCAGGAAGGGAAATCCTTCTGTAATGTTCAACTTCATGTACTTCTTATTCACCAAACAACTTATGCTCATTAGTTTGGGCATAAACTATCTGTACATTGTGCTAGAAAAATGTGTAAATTAGGATGAAAACCCATTGAAGAAAAAGTTGTCTGGGATTTTTTTGTTTTTTCCTCCCAGCTGTCAGTCTATTGACTCCCATAGCAACCAAAGTACAAGCACTGTGGTTGATAAGGAAACTTCCGAACAGGGGCTTCTGCCAGCTATGGTGTATAGTAAGTCACATGGCAACAAAGCCAGCATGCCAACATCAGATGAGGTTTGCCTTGCTTGGGGTGCATCCCAACAGGGCAAATAAAAGAATTTGGAGGAGCAACGGTGGGCATTGCATAATGAATAACAAAGCTGCATTAGTGAAGGTCTTTGTACATTGAATACACTTTGTATCTTTTTATGATATGATCCATGTTTATAGGAGCAATTTTACAGGCAGTTCTCAGAACTGGTGCACAGTAAGGTCAAAAAGCCAAACTGGCTGTTTCTGGTTCAGCTGCTCTGACAGGAATGCAAAATGTAATACCAATTCTCTTTAGTGATTAACCAGGTAAATAACTTTTGAATCACCAGAGGGTTCATTTCTTTAATTTTAATCTTAATTTGATAAACCAGGTTGAGAAGACCTCTTGCCTATGTCAAGCAAGTTACAGTCTGGAGAAACCTGGTGATCATGCATGGTGGGCAAGAGTGTGGATAGACGAAGTCACGTTCCTTGGCAAACCCAAGCAAGACCCTACCACTTACTCTTTAATTGACTCTCCTATATAGCTAGAACTTGTTAAACATTCATCAATCCAGAACTTTATTAAAAATAAATAAATACATGGATTATAAAACGCCAGAAGGGAGCAAAGCAATACAGATCTGAGTCAATGGCCGTCTAGACACCCAGCAGTGAAAGCAATACTTTGCACCCTTTTAACACAGCAGGGAAAGTGACAAGCATACTGTTATATTTTTTTTTTTTTTTCTATTGCTTGAACTGGTTTTTGATAAAGCAGGTGTTTTGAAATTCTATGCAATGACTATAATCTGAGCAGGCGTTCTGCAGTGGAGAGCAGGGTCTTGTCTCTTGGTGCAGGCCACACACCGATTTCCCCCTGGCAACTTTTGTAAAGCTTGAAAGCCCTCTGTAGGCTGGTGATTGCATTGCAGCAAAGCACAGTTAAACTCTCTAGAGAGGTAACACTGGGTTTGGTTTTAATTATTTTGGTACGTGCAATTCAGTATGTACCCTAGACTACCCCTCTATAGAAACAGTCCATGTAATATTTTGTATGATTCATTAATGTAAGATGGACATCTGTCATCCATATACATATATTTGCACAGATTACAATGGAAAACATGTTAAGAACGCCCAATAGTGGCAGTGCTGCTTTTAATATTGCAAGTAACACCAGTTTTCATTTACCTTTGAAATCCTAATGGGACACTCTTTACAGAATACATTTAAAGACAAATTACGATTTAGTAGATACACTCCAATGAAAACATGCATGTAATTTAATTGTGCGCTTTTATTTTTCAAATTGGAGTAGATCTAAAACCAGCTTGAAAAACTGTAGATATCTTGTCTGCAGCCTTTGCAAACCTTTACCTGCCCAGACTGTCTCTTTATGTACAATCACGGACTTCCCACGTTACAAGACCGGTGCTCTGGGCATTGTCTTTAGGTTTTCTTTCACAATAAGTATACTGCAGCACTTTGAAATTCAGGGTTTTGGTTTGGCTCTGGGGATTTTTCACCTAAAGATTGTTCCATTACTTTGAGTAAAGTTGTAACGCTTAGATTTTTTGTTTATTTCTTCTGCGTTAAACATGAAGTGACAGGACCGGTTATGACAGTGAGCGAAGTGTACCAAAGTTAATTTCTAAAACTGCCAAGAGTGAGTTTTTTTTAGGCATTTTTCTTTTCATTGGTAGTTCACCAGAAACAGATGATCTGGGTAATTCCCCCGCATATCCCCTGTTCAAAAAGAAAGAGTGGTTGTTTAGTCTAAGGAAATCCAGTTTAGCTATAAATCGATTTGGGTTTTAACAAATTACAATGGAAATACAGAGTGTGTGTGTGTGTGTATATATATATATATATATATATATATGTATGTATATGTATATATATATATATATATATCCAAAAGTACAAGATAGCACTCCAGGGACTTCCAAGTTGAATGAATAAAACAGCTTTTATTAGCTCAAAATAAAAATCAACGTTTCAGTCTGTATCACAGACTTTCATCAGGATGAAAGTCTGTGATACAGACTAAAACGTTGATTTTTATTTTGAGCTAATAAAAGCTAAGTTTTCTTCATTCAACTTGGAAGTCCCTGGAGTGCTATCTTGTACTTTTGGCGGTATCTGTTTGCTGATAAGCACCGGGCAAGTACATCAAGGAAGGTGGAGTGCATTACTATTTTTGTTTTATTTATATATATATATATATATATATATATATAGTGTCAACAAATTCCACAGTGCTGTACAGTAGGTAGACTGACAATTATTTGTAACAAGACAAGTTGGTCGCACAGAGAATGTTGAGAGCCCTTCTCAAACAAGCTTACATTCTAGACATACACACTAGATAGAGGCAGTCCCCTGTAATATTAGTCGATTGTATTCAGACTTTGGCTTTGAGGCAGGACAAGTGGCCCCTGGACGCAATCCACAACCTGGAGAGTCTCTGTAGAAGGGACGGTCTCGGTAACCTCCATGCTTTTTGCGAGGGGTAATTAGGCAATGCATGCGGGTTCTAGTACACAGCTGGGCTTATGGGGTCTGGGAGCACAATTGTGACTTTCTCAGCCAGGTCTGCTGATTTTTATGCTGTAGTCATTACACGTTCCCTTGCTTGGGAATAGGCTGATGTATTGATATGTCAATAAATAGCTCAGACAGCAGTTATGTAGCTGTTTAGTTTTACCTTCCACTAGCTTTATATTAGTTTGCATTAGCAAGCCTGTTATCCGTAGTTGTTATAACTATGGAGTTTTATGTTAGGACTTCCTGGTGGATCCACATCAAGGCCAAATGCAATATCGATTTTTAAGATTTCTGGTTTATGTAACAAAACAAGCATAGAGGCCACGTTTAAGTGTTAACTGCAGAATATTTTACTTGCCCACAAATTGTACATTTATTTCGACAAGTGTTCCACAATTCTCATTGAAAACACTCTGTACATGTCTCGTGGTGTCATGGCAATATATCCAATGTATTTTTGTTTTTTCATAACAAAAAGATTATCTGATGACACTTTAACCATAGGCAAGCAGTCTACATAAAAACTTCCCTTACCCAACACCTTACTGCGCATCTGTTCTCTCTTTCCATGTGATGCATGGATGTGATATTGAGCCTGACCAGCTATGAACAGACTGTCCTCTAGTCACTGCACCCAAGACATCTTCTGAGCGCTCTCGAGCTGATTTCTTAGTCTTGCTGTTGTGACCCTGAGAAGCTCCGAGCAGCAGCTGCTCCTCTAATCAGTTGACCTGGTAAGATGAGCCTCCCTTGAACTGTAGTGGGCGTCTGTGCTGGTCGCTTGCCTTACAGTGCGATGAGATGAGTCCCTTAAATAGATGGGAAGGCAGAGCTATAAAAGGGTTTTTTTTGTGCCGCTGCCTTTGGTGTGAGCAGCGTTTTGTTGGATTGCGAATCTGCATTCAGATCCATGCCGGAGCCAGACATAGGCAGCCTTGCGGCAAAAACGCTAAATTAGGACCTTTAAACCACGTTCCGTGGGAAGGGAGATCTACACAATTCTGTTCAGGTGGATAAGAAGCCCCTCAGAGCTGGCGCTAAGTTCCCCTTCCGCAGCCCCTGATCACGGCATCCTCAGAATGCGGTATTACCCCACCCGCAGACTGAGATCAACACGGACTGTACGTTTTCCAAATGATATACTCTTTTTGGACCATATTCGTCAGGGCGACCTGGAGCAGGTTGGGAGATTCATACGGGCCAGGAAGGTGAAAATTGATACAATTTATTTATCAGGTGAGGATGGCATGTAAAGGTCTAATTATCATCTATTATATCACTTTAATATCAGAAACAGACCTCTAAATTGCCAAAACTTTACCCCCAATTTGAAGCGTATATGGCCATAAGCTAGCCCCTTCCAGCTGTTGTGCAACTACAAACCCCATCATGCTTTGCCAGATCTAAAGTTGGAGGGGGCTACCTCTTGGACACCCCTTGATTAGATACACCAAAGCTAACCTCTGGCACTGCTGCTGTTATGGACAACATTTACATTGATGGAAAAACTGCTGAGAGTTATGGGAGTGGCAGTCAAAAATGGTTATCACTAAATCATAACACGAAAAAAAAAGCCAATATCTCAGTTCTTCAGACCTATTACATCTGGTTGGTAAAACTAAACGAAACTAGCAGCATGATAAAGTAAGTGATTTAGGCAGATGACTAAAGGGGCGGGGGAGAGGGGGATGAGGGCAAATACTTTGGCAAGTGACATGGCACACTATGTAACCAGCTGTTGAACATTAGTGTTTACAATTATTGAATCGTTATTACGAAAGAGCTGAAGGAGTTTTCTGAATCCTAATTGTACCGAAAATGGCTCATAGCAGGTTTTTCTTTTATAAAGAGGGATTCTGGAGCAATGTGCTAAAATTGGAGCAATTAAATAGGCCCATTCCATTGGTTTCCATGGTAACTGCTCCACTGTTACATGAACCTGACCACGAAAAAGTTTGTTTTAAACATGAACGTTATGTTTTAAATGGAGGACTGGTTTGTCAATCCGTAACATTTGTTTCCATTTCAATAATTGTGAACCCTTCTGTAATATTTATATTGTTTGTCGTAAATGCCAGATGACGTGTCTGGGCTAATATGATGCTAAGGGACATGCCTACCTCTTGGCATCAAGGGGTTAATTTGTGCATTGTCACAATTTGCTAAGCACTTGAGATCCAAGATTAGCGTTCAGTAAGGTCATATTGAGTGTAATTATGGGCATTTACCTTTTAGATATAAAACATAAATTCTCAAAGCAATGATATGGGGCAGATTAAAAGGAATATATATTTTATAAAATTATTAAAGAAAATAAAAAATAAAAATGAACATATTCTGAAATGATGGCCATTAGGTTGCACTCCATTTACTATATGTTGGTATTGCTGGAGGGATTTGTTTGAATGATGTTGGGTGCCCACACTTGTCTTAGAGTCAGTCGTCCCATTCATCCCAATGTTTCTTGAGGTTAAAATCAGGGCTTTGCGTAGCCTTCTCTCATTTGTTACCACAAATAGTCCGGAATATCACTGTAGGCTGATATAGTATTTTCACTTGAATGAAGGGACATGGAGAGCGGAGTCAGATTACAGTTAGCACCTTGCAGGCAGGCAGGTAGTTTATTTGGAGTATATATCTGTCAGGCCGCCAGGTATTGAATAGTGATTCATCACTCCACCTGGCATTGATGCCAATCTTGCAACAACAAAAAAACTCCTTTCGATGCAATAGCAATACTTCAATTGAAGTTCAATTTATATAAAAGAGAACATCGAAAGGAAAAAACATGTATTCCTGACACTATAGTGCTGAAGTGGCTGTTTAGGTGCCGGCCCCTCTCTCTGTGCAGTAAAAGGCGTTTAGAGTGCTAAGACTGCAGGGACAGGCATATTAAACTGTAGTGGTTCTGGTGATTATAGTGTCACTTTGAAAAAAGTCCAAGAATATATGTGAAAGTCATTGACCTTGTCTATTTTTGCTTCTTGTCCCAAAATTGCACCTCAGACTGGAGGATGCACATAGTCCATCATCATTTGTGGATTGTCTGCTCAGTGACCAAGAACTGATTTCCACCTGTTTTCTGATTGTCTGAACACATCAAACAGTAAATCAGGTTTATATCAGTTAGGCAAAGCCTGTGTAGGGGGGTACATGGTAGTAAGGGCAGATATATGGGCTCCATAAACCAGGCCAGGAGATTAAAGTCTGTTCTTTATGGAAGGAGAAGCAGGATAGAAAAAAAAGAGGAAAAATGCATGAGGGAGACAATACAAATTTCAGAACATTGGGAAGCAAGTCAATAATTTGCCAGGAAAGGCTGGTGGGAAGGACGTTTCAATGAAATAAACGATGAAGGTTGTGAATTAGAATCTACGTTGTATTTTGAGTGAGATATTGGTGGATAATTATCAGCATCGTTGTGGATATGACACAAAGGCCTTGCGCTTGGTTGGGTGGAGAAATAATAATATTACCTACAGTAAAGTAGTAAATGGCCCAGGGGCAGTTGGTAACATGAGATATGAGAGAGGGCAAAAGATCAGGCAAGGAGATGTCAATCTGGTCATGCCTGACATGGAGGAATTACCAAATGATGTAACAGGCTTGCCAAGAAAAGACTTGCAGAGGAAGAAGAGTATGGGGTCAAAGAGCAAGGGGAGATGTTCCAATAGCCCCACCACTGGTGGTCTCCTTAGGTAGCACATCCTTGTCTTCTAGTTTTGTCTGTTCTGTTGGCTTCATCTCAGCATGCTCCAGTTTTGCATCATCTAGTTCCTGTACTCCAAATTGGCTGCGTTCTGTGTTCCAGGCTCCAGGGCTGTGGATTTTGGCATGTTCCTGAGTTTCCTGTGTTCCTATCTCAGTGCCAACCTGGAAATTTCCTGGTTGTGCTTTTCCTTGCCCTACCTAGTCTTTGTGCAACCGGTTTGTCTGGTATGATTGTCTGGATATTATTAACTTAGTACTGTGAACAAAGGAGCTTGATCCTGGCCCCTAGTATCCTTTCCATTTACAGTCCTGGCTGTGGTAATCATTAAGCTGATGGCTCAGCATGATATGGATTATTGAGAATTCATGTGTACTGGGCAAGAATGACGATGGAATGCAGCTTGTAGAGAAATTATTGGTGATCACCAATGTCAAAGGCACAATATTAAATACACCTGCTATGCAAGAATGTATATTAACACAATACAAAGACAAGTTTCATGCTTGAATAGTTACTGGTCTAAATTAAATGCATCTTAAAGTTTCATGGAGGGAAGCAATTTTTTTTTCACGCTTTCTGCTGTTAGTTATAGCAACATCACATAGTTTTGTTAGTAACCATAGATCTGAAGTCATCCCTATAAATTCTGTGGAAGTGGTCAGATGATGAGATGTGTGCGGCAGAGTGCAAACACACCTTCATGTTGCCATGCACTTGAAATGTGTAATTTGCACAGAACGCCAGACTGTGCCAAAACGGCTTTACTTATGATAAAAAATAATTTCTATTAAACACAAGTAACAGCTAGCATTTAGTTTACTAGCTTTGATGAATAAGCCTTTAAGCTTTAAAATTACATGCTTTATAAAACTGGTTCAGTAATGGAAATGCTCTCTCCAACCTGCAGCAAAATTAAAGTAAAATACCTTTCGTTACATGAAGATATAGATGAATTCTGCATTTCAGCTCCATGTTACTGACTGAGTCCCACTCTCTTTCAGGTATGGCTGCTCTGCACGAAGCAGTACTTTCAGGGAATCTGGATTGTGTAAAGCTGCTGATAAAATATGGAGCAGACATAGAACAAAGAGATGAGAATGGATGGACCCCTTTGCACATGGCCTGCAGTGACGGGCACCCACACATTGCCAGGTGAGAACACAGTGTTCATTCCTTTTGCCATCATATACCATCCTTCTACTAAGGGGCCAATAAGCATTACTTATGCACACAGAACTACAAATGTCCAGTATACATCTACAGCTGAGTGGACTGACCCTCCCCCCCCCCAGCCTGTCCTTGAGGAATTCCCACTAGCCCCCCCAGCCTGTCCATGAGGAACTCCCACTGATCCCACCGACCTGTCTTTATCTCTTGTCCTTACACCAGTTCCTGAGAGGTAAATGTACTCTGGTTTTGATTCATTCACATTTAAGATTTAAGGGTGATAATAAGAATATATTTAAAACAAATTGCGCAGGTAACATTTTATTTGCTCATTTATATTTTTAGTTTAGATATCTTGGTCTAATATTTGAAATTAACTTTGAATTCCTGCCAGATCACACTTTGTTACCATCTGCACCGGCACAGGGTTCTTAGACCATCACCAACCCAATCTTATCTATTGAGTAACTGGGAGGCAACATATTCCAAACCAATCTACGGAATATTGTCTTAACACCCAACAACAATAAAGAATAAAGTCAATATAATATCAAACTGAAGCTTAATACCTAAAATGTCAAGTTCTCTATCAGGGCACCATGATGACTCCCACCTGTAAAGACAGTTGGAAATATGAGACAGCAATGACGCTTTGTGGACAGACTAGGATTGAGTTCCCACAGGGCCCTTCGCCTCCCCCCTTACTCCAACTATATGGATTGTAAATGTGGCCCAACTTGACAAAGTTTCTTCATGGCTCCTTGAGCACTGTCCAACCCCTGGACCTTAGGCAGCTGCCTTTGAATCTGGCTATGTTTGTGGATGATGTAATCCATGAGATATATAGCTGCATCTTCTTTTATTTGTATATTGACTGGCTTGGTGCTTCTGTTTCTGTTACTAACTATAAATTGCACATGACAATCGATTCCAGCTCTATAGCCCAGTTCTAATTGTTTGTTTTCCTTTAAAAATCACATGCCTGTATGCATTAAAGCAGTCAAAGGGAAGTTTTTTTTGTCTACAGTAAGAACAATAAGGATATGGAATTCTCTGCTTGAATAAGTGGTTTTATCAGAATCCGTACAGATGTTTAAAAAGCAACTGGATGCATACGTGCAAAAACACATAATATTCATGGATATCATTTTTAATTTGTGAGATAATAGCTTCTTGATCCAAGGAGAGATCTGGCTGCCATTCTGGAGTCAAGAAGGATTTTATTCCTAGTTTGTTGCAAAATTGGAAGTGCTTCAAAGTGGGTTCTTCTTTGACTTCTTTTGGATCAACAGCAAAAAACAGATGTGAGGAAGGCTGAACTTGATGGACACATGTCTCTTTTCAGCCTATGGAACTACTGGCACTAATATCTTGGTACTTTCACAGGTGCACAGGCTGTACCTGGGTCTTTACTCACCAAACAGCAAGCTGACCACCTGATTGCCACATGTAGCACAGAGGGGAAAAAATAGACAAAAATCCACTTGGATACATTTTTTATTGTGAAGTCTTATTCATTTATTCGCAGGCTTTTTACCAGCTCCCCTTATTCCATTGCTGACACAGGGGCAATTGAATGGAATTTAAACCAAATCGACCCATTTATTCTCAGAGAGCTCGTTGTTTTGTTCCCCTCTAAAAAAGGTTAATTTTAATGTATTTGCTAAAACAGTCTAGACTGTTGTGGGGATTAGTTGAGTATTGCTCTCCAACGCTCCAGTGACAGCTGTGTGGTTATTTGGGGCTCTGGGTATTTTCTAATTCTGCAATTATATGCTGGCCTTCATCCCAAACTGAAGGACTGTGGGTTTGACCTTAGCTGGAGAACAAGGCTTCCCCAGCATGGGGTCGAACAAATGTAAGGGTGCACTAAACATGACTAGCTCATGTGGGAGTGGGGGGATTATATTCTTCTGCAATTAAAGGAAAACTGTTCATTTTTTATTTTTATTGAAAAAAACAAGTAATATAACCTGTTTGTAATTTAATGAATAAATGTGAGTTAATGTTAGTTTATTACATACATTAGCATTGCTCCAAGGGGCCAGCCATATTCTCTCTATTTGGTGGGACGCTCTATGGATCTGCTAAAACCAGGCATGCACCCTCTAAAGGACTGAAATCATCCCAGAGTGTATATCTAAACTGTGCAGTACATGATGTCAGGATTCATGTTTGTGGACTAGCTAGCAGTTACTTACATTATTTTGATCAGAGGGCAAACCATGAGAGACACTGAAAAAAGGTATTAACTCATAAAGTGATACAAGGTCCTTTTAAAGGGCCACTGTAAGCACCACAATCACTACAGCACGCTGCAGTGGTTATAGTGCCAGGAGACCTTTGCACAGTCTGACACTTACCTGTCTCTGTTGTTGCTGTGATCCTTCCGCCCTGAGCTGGTATGGTAAAGCAGATCTCCATACTTTGAATTATTCATTGGCTGAGAGTGTCACCTGATGGATCTTAGCCAATGGATAATTCCTCATGGATTGGTTTGATAACGCAGCACTATAAACCTCCGTTTTACAGTACTAGCTCAGACTGTAAGCGGTGTGGGCCCGCGAAGGACCAAGCTAACACCATACTTAAACTTTTTGACATTTAGTCAGGCCGCGTCAGCATTCCCTGGCACCAAAACAACTACAGTCCACTGTTGTGGTTATGGTGCTTAGAGTATCCCTTTAAGCAGAGACTGTTTAGTTTAGAGAGGGTAGTATGTTTATGTGAGGTATCTTTTATGATGATGAGCCACTTTCTTTTTTTTTTATACACAGTAGCTAATTGTGAATATAAATGTAAACGTATTAAGCAGCAAATTCTGATGAGCTGAAAACCAGAATGTGGAATTTATCCTAGAGTAGTTGAGTTTTGTACCAAACTATAGTACAAAACTATAACATTTTTCAGCAGACGCCCTCGTACGATTGAGCCCACACAGGGCATTAAGGTGCATGACATCACCCAGGACAACCTGTGCTGGAGAGGTAAGTACATTTTTTACTTACCCCCCGCTGCGCTGTTCAGTAAGTAAGTGATTCAGTAGTGAATCTGTTGGCTGAATAACTGTAATGTGTTTGCACTAACACTGAGCATGTTTATCGGGCTAATATTAGTACTGAGCTTGTTTGTGGGGGGTTGGGCGTCAATCGATGTTTTACATCGGGCACCAGTGAGACAGCCCTGCTGTTTCAGATCTTCTCTCCGTAAAATGAGAACTTGCCTGCTGGCTTCCTTCTCAGATTCTAAAGAGAGGCATTCGGGTTAATGTTATAAGTAGCATTTATGTTGCATGCCTCCCGCGTGAGACACGTGTTTAAGACCTGGGACAACTTTGTTTTATTACCCCAACTCTTTCCTTACTTGCAAGGCCTTTTGAAAACTTCACGCTAACCATGATATTGAAGAAGGCACTGAATGTTCAATGATAAAATTGTACCTAACGGAATGCATGTCATGGATAGAAACGGAAACAGTCACTTCAAAGGCTTTTTAATACTACATTGGCTCATGGGTGTAGGAAGCAGGGGGTGGATGGCGGACCCACAAATTCCCTGCTCCACACTTTGCACCTGTCAGTGAGCACAGGGAGTGAAGACGAAAAAGAAACCATCTTTTTATTTCTCCTCCTCATTAGCAATGTGTGCCCGGCCGGGGTTGGATTGTGATGTCAATTGCTAAGAATAATACATACCGTATTTACTCGAATCTAATGCGCCATTGTATCTAATGCGCACCTCAATTTTTGAAACCTGGAAGCTAAAAAATGTTTTTGCTGATGAATGTAATACAACATTGTGCTACTATGAAAATGCCATATACCACAATGTAACACTGATGTTATTTCAATTTTAGTGTTACATGTTAAAAGATCACTATAGGGTCAGGAACAGAAACATGTATTCCTGACCCTATAGTGCTTCCAGCCCCTTATAAAAGTTTAAAACTTACCTTATTTCCAGCGCTGCGTGGGTCCGCCGGCGCTGGCTCTGCCCCCTTTGTGACTTCACGAAAATGGCCGATTTTTAGCCAATCCAATGCTTTCCCATAGGGAAAGCATTGGATTGGCTAAAATCGGGACGAGGTGGGGCCACATGCCATTTTGGTCAATCAGGACCTCCTCATAGAGATGCATTGAATCAATGAATCTCTATGAGGAAAATGCAGCGTCTCCAGGCAGAGCGTGGGGACGCTGAACGGCAGGGCTGCTTACTGTGCAGCACTGAGCCAGGAAGCACCTCCAGTGGCCATCTGAGGAATGCAATGAGGGGCAATGTAAACACTGCATTTTCTCTGAAAAGGCAGTGTTTAAATGAAAATGCCTGAAGGGAACTATAATACGCACCAGAACAACTACATTAAGCTGTAGTTGTTCTGGTGACTATAGTGTCCCTTTAAGTCTATTCTTTCTTAAGCCCTCTTTCACGAACAAAATTTGCCTGTTTGAATTTACCGGAATGGAATTTGCCTGTATGAATTTACCGGTTTTCATTTGCCTGTGAGAATTCGCTGGAAAGATAAAAATTTTGACCGAAATGTAATGCGCCAATCGAATCTAATGCACATTCAAATTTTGGAAACTTTATTTTAAAAAACAAGGTGCGCATTAGATTCCAGTAAATACCGTATTACATTGTATTGTACATTTAGAAAAAAAACAGAACATCACAAAAAGAAAATAGCACAAGTCATAGGTGATTTTTAATGTTTTATTCAATCATATAATTTCCAGAGTAGTGATGGTCATATACTGGAAATTTTAGAATGAGCTAAACTTACCTTTACTCCAGCATATTGGGAGAGACTTCTGGAGCTGTGTCCCCAATCCTCCTCCTGAGAAGTTATTATTACTATGAATTGTATCCAGTAAAATGCTTCTCATATTGAAGGATTGAACACACAGCGCATGCATAGAGACCAGCGCTCATTACCACTTTCAACTCTAGTTCAAAGTGAGTGAATCCGGAAACCCTCCTGGTTGTCTGTTCGACAGCCAAGACGTGTTACTAAGTTGATTTATAAAAGTGTTGATTTCTTTTGAGATAAGCCTGCAGTGACATGCACTTAATCTCTGAAGCACCTCAGCAAGCTGGACTAGACTGTCCCTTTAACTTCAAAGTGACAACAAGTAAATGTGGGATCTTGGGATAGGGTATGACTTCTGATAGGTTGAAGAGACCATTAAGCACTTGCAATTAACTCACAGGGAATGTAAAATTCACAGGTGATTAACTTGTTATTTGCAATCAGCGTCCTTTCTGGCAGACGTAAAGTTTGGCACGACTACTCAGAAAAGAATAATCAAAAGGGGGGAAAAATGACTATTCAAACTAAAAAAAACAAAACAAAATCCTTCATTTTTCAAACCACTAGGAGTAACCTGTTTCTGTGATGGCGCCGTGCACAATTGCGGCACCCTTGAATGTATATAGTTACCGCTAAGATCACAGCTTGAATAGAGCAGTAATTGGATCACACAGAAAGAGATTTGTTTGGACTTTTCTGAAGAGGTGGATTTTCAGGGATTTGGCTGTCACATAATATTAACTGGACAGGTTTAGGTCATTAGCAAAGGCTTGAGGTCTGATTGAGAAAATCTTAAATGTTTACTCATCTGATGGGCTCTTTTATTTAAGAATAATAACTGTATTTCTATATAAATATGAGCATATTCAACTGCATTTGTTCTGGAGGTACAAAGGATCCTTACGGCATTTTTGGCCATGGGCTGAAAGCCAGTAGAGAATGCCAAGGGTAGACTGTTAACCCTCCGAAGTGTCCTCGTTCCAGTGGAATAGTCCCATACCACCTAGCTGACCCTATTCAGGAGGGATAGTCCCTCTTGTGAGCCCAAATCCTTCTGCCGCCCCCCCCCCCTTTTTTTTTAATCCTAAATGGGTACTATAAGCACCCATTTAGGGTGTTTTTGTGTTTTTTTACAGAGTTTGAAACGATGCTGGATGTCCGCGAAACGATGCTGGATGTCCACACGCTTTACATGAGGACATCCAGCGTCCTCTAAAACCCCATAGAAAAGTGTTGAGTCAAAGCTTTCCTACAGGGGAGGCCAAATGTGCATTAGCTCCCCCCATTGGCTAATGTTGGGGGAGGAAGAGACTAAGCCAGTGCCAAGGCCTTAGTGCTGAGATTAAGTGTTTTTTTTTTAACCTTTTTCTTGTCATTGGGTAGAGGTGGAAGGGGGGGGGGGGATACACTCAGACACTCCAACAATTTAGGAGATCCAAATTGTTGGAATGTCTGAGTGTATCATAGAGCTCCACGGTAATAATATTCCCAGTAATGTGTCTGAGTGTATAACAGAGCTCCACAGTAATAATACTCCCAGTAATGTGTCTGAGTGTATAACAGAGCTCCTCAGCTATAATACTCCCAGTAATGTGTCTGAGTGTATAACCGAGCTCCACAGCAATGATACTGTCAGTAATGTGTCTGAGTGTATCACAGAGCTCCACAGCTATAATACTCCCAGTAATGTGTCTGAGTGTATAACAGAGCTCCACAGCAATAATACTCCCAGTAATGTGTCTGAGTGTATAACAGAGCTCCACAGCAATAATACTCCCAGTAATGTGTCTGAGTGTATAACAGAGCTCCACAGCAATAATACTGCCAGTAATGTGTCTGAGTGTATAACAGAGCTCCACAGCAATAATACTCCCAGTAATGTGTCTGAGTGTATAACAGAGCTCCACAGCAATAATACTCCCAGTAATGTGTCTGAGTGTATAACAGAGCTCCACAGCAATAATACTCCCAGTAATGTGTCTGAGTGTATAACAGAGCTCCACAGCAATAATACTCCCAGTAATGTGTCTGAGTGTATAACAGAGCTCCACAGTAATAATACTCCCAGTAATGTGTCTTGAGTGTATAACAGAGCTCCACAGCAATAATACTCCCAGTAATGTGTCTGAGTGTATAACAGAGCTCCACAGCAATAATACTCCCAGTAATGTGTCTGAGTGTATAACAGAGCTCCACAGCTAAAATACTCCCAGTAATGTGTCTGAGTGTATAACAGAGCTACACAGCAATAATACTCCCAGTAATGTGTCTGAGTGTATAACAGAGCTCCACAGCAATAATACTCCCAGTAATGTGTCTGAGTGTATAACAGAGCTCCACAGCTATAATACTCCCAGTAATGTGTTTGAGTGTATAGCAGAGCTCCACAGCAATAACCCTCCCAGAAATGTGTCTGAGTGCATAACAGAGCTCCACAGCACTAATACTCCCAGTAATGTGTTTGAGTATATAACAGAGCTCCACAGCAATAATTCCCCCAGTAATGTGTCTGAGTGTATAACAGAGCTCCACAGCAATAATTCCCCCAGTAATGTGTCTGAGTGTGCAACAGAGCTCCACAGCAATAATACTCCCAATAATGTGTCTGAGTGTATAACAGAGCTCCACAGCAATAATACTCGCAGTAATGTGTCAGAGTGTGTAACAGAGCTCCACAGCAATAATACTCCCAGTAAAGTGTCAGAGTGTGTAACAGAGCTCCACAGCAATAATACTCCCAGTAATGTGTCAGAGTGTATAACAGAGCTCCACAGCATTAATACTCCCAGTAATGTGTCTGAGTGTATAACAGAGCTCCACGGCAATACTACTACCAGTAATGTGTCTGAGTGTGTAACAGAGCTCCACAGCACTAATACTCCCAGTAATGTGTCTGAGTATATAACAGAGCTCCACAGCAATAATTCCCCCAATAATGTGTCTGAGTGTATAACAGAGCTCCACAGCAATAATTTCCCCAGTAATGCGTCTGAGTGTGCAACAGAGCTCCACAGCAATAATACTCCCAATAATGTGTCTGAGTGTGTAACAGAGCTCCAGGGCAATAATACTACCAGTAATGTGTCTGAGTGTGTAACAGAATTCCACGGCAATAATACTCCCAGTAATGTGTCAGAGTGTGTAACAGAGCTCCACAGCAATAATACTCCCAGTAATGTGTCAGAGTGTATAACAGAGCTCCACAGCAATAATACTCCCAGTAATGTGTCTGAGTGTATAAAAGAGCCCCACAGCAATAATACTCCCAGTAATGTGCCTGAGTGTATAACAGAGCTCCATGGCAATAATACTACCAGTAATGTGTCTGAGTGTGTAACAGAGCTCCACAGCACTAATACTCCCAGTAATGTGTCTGAGTATATAACAGAGCTCCACAGCAATAATTCCCCCAGTAATGTGTCTGAGTGTATAACAGAGCTCCACAGCAATAATTCCCCCAGTAATGTGTCTGAGTGTGCAACAGAGCACCACAGCAATAATACTCCCAATAATGTGTCTGAGTGTATAACAGAGCTCCACAGCAATAATACTCCCAGTAATGTGTCAGAGTGTATAACAGAGCTCCACAGCAATAATACTCCCAGTAATGTGTCTGAGTGTGTAACAGAGCTCCATGGCAATAATACTACCAGTAATGTGTCTGAGTGTGTAACAGAACTCCACGGCAATAATACTCCCAGTAATGTGTCTGAGTGTATCACAGAGCTCCACAGTAATAATACTCCCAGTAATGTGTCTGAGTGTATAACAGAGCTCCACAGCAATAATACTCCCAGTAATGTGTCTGAGTGTATAACAGAGCTCCACAGCAATAATACTCCCAGTAATGTGTCTGAGTGTATAACAGAGCTCCACAGCAATAATACTCTCAGTAATGTGTCTGAGTGTATAACAGAGCTCCACAGTAATAATACTCCCAGTAATGTGTCTGAGTGAATAACAGCAATAATACTCCCAGTAATGTGTCTGAGTGTATAACAGAGCTTCACAGTAATAATACTCCCAGTAATGTGTCTGAGTGTATAACAGAGCTCCACAGCAATATTACTCCCTGTAATGTGTCTTCAAACTGCAAAAAATGTGTGTAGAAATCCCTCTGTGTAAATAAGATACATTGTTCTTGTTCTAAATGTAATTTTCGTTTTATACATTATTATTAATAAATCACCTAAAATATCTTAGTACAGGCCCGACCCTGGCTACTCCCTGTAGCGGAGAGGCAGTATGATCCACGATATCTCCGCTGGGTAACAGGAACAACAAAGGATAATCCAGGGAATCAGCATATAATAATCCAAACAGCACTGCAGTAACCCTTCCTTCCCAAGAACTAGACGACACATAGGCTGGGAGTCAACTGAGGTTTTAATCACAGGTCACAGTATTTATGCAATTCCCCATGCAAGGGGTTTCCAAACAGACATTACAGGGGTTGTACAGGAGGGGACTACATGGGGACTTACTGTACTACATATTTCTCCCATCAGGCACCGCTGCACGAGAGGGATCATCCTCCCAGAATGCACCGTTAAGGGGATTATCCCCTCGTGCAGCAGAACCGGCAATTCACACAAAAATCCACAGTTGGTACAATATACGGTGGATTTACACGAATGGACGTTCGGTAGATAGCTGGGGTCTGGGTGCATCATTCGTGAGATTGCCGCTCAGATCCCAGCTAAAATAACCGAACGCCGCACAGAAAACACCTTTCTTTCAAAACACATGAAAAGAACCGATTGTCTTTAGTGAACCTGGTCCTGAAACTCCCGAACGTCCTGGAGGCTTAACGGTGTTCGTGCCGTCGAATAACTGTTGGGAATGCTATGCGTTCGACGACACGGACCCGCTGACGAACCAGGGATCCAAGATGGCCGCCCGCCGCATGGTCGGTAGTCGAACGACGGCCACCCAGGAGAGCCTCTAATAACCGATTGCAACAATGTTGCAATCGGTTAACTAGCGCCACACGCCTCTAAGTGTGTGGGCTATTAGGGGGTATCGCATTCGTTTCACGAACGGCCCTCCAAAGTGCCGTTCGCGAAACGAACGGGAATCCCCATACAAACCGCCATTTGCATTCGGCGGAACAGATAGGTACAGGCAATGCAGGGAATACATGAAGCAGGCACATACAGGTACAATGCATCTCTCTCCAGACCTATAGGCAACCCTTAAAGGCATAGTGTCCAGTTATAGTCCGAGTGGCTAGGTTTGCCACACTCCCCCACTCACACCCCTACAATAAAAGTGTTCCACTTTGTCCATTTGAAATGTTGGGAGGTATCTAACCCTAGTTTGGAAAATCTATCCTACTATCCCCAATGTTTTGTCCTGCTTCTTGGGAAACTAGACAAATGATGCACTTGATGAGTACACGCTGCTTCCGCCCAAGAACTCAACAGTAAAGGGACACTATAGTCACCGGAACAACTACAGCTTATTGCATTTGTTCTGTTGAGTAGAATCATTTCCATCAGGCTTATTGCCGTAAACACTGTTTTTTTTTAGAGAAAATGTAGTGTTTACATTAAAGCCTAGTGATAACTCCACTGGCCACTCCTCAGATGGCTACTAGAGGTGCTTCCTGGGGCTGTGCTGCACACTGTGCAGTACTGCCATTCGGTGTTTCCACCCTCTGCATGCAGACACTGAACTTTCCTCAAAGAGATGTATTGATTCAGGGCTGTGTTTAACTTGTGCTGGCTCTGCCCCTGATCTACCTCATTTAAAGTCTCAGCCAATCCTATGGAGAAGCATTGTAATTGGCTCAGACCACCACTTCTGATGATGTCAGCAGACAGCAGGCAGGTCTCAGGCAGCCAGAGGCAGAGTCAGCAGCTGTAGACTTGAATACAAATAAGATTTTAATATATTTAATGATTTTAACACTACAGGGTCAGGAATACATATTTGTTTCTTTAATGGCCAATCATTTCCATCCAAGTTTGGCCAGATTACAGGTAATTCTGAGATGAAACTCCTGCTCTAACTTAGCGGCAGCACTAAGTGAGAGCAGAGTCCTGTTGTTTTTTTTTTGTTGTTTTTTTAAACTTGTCAAAATGGTTTGACAAAAAACTGGAGCATCTGGACCCAAAGATTCCTTGCTCCATAGCTGCTATGACAGTCTTTATAGGGCTCTAGTAGTTATAGTGCTGAAAGTATCCCTTTAATGGGAACCATATAAAAATGGTGTGTGTAAATTGCCGCAGGTGTGCAGGAAATCCAGTTTATGCAAATGTAGTGTATGTGTGTACATATATGCTAAATGTTATCCTATAATACAAAGATATTTTTCTGTCTTTCCTTAGGTATCTCCTCTCTCTTGGAGCACGACAAGATGTTGTAAACAGCGATGGGGAAACACCAAGTGAGCTAATAGACTCAGACTGCGAGGAGTTAGTACAAATCTTTAAACCAAGAGGTGGTGGAGCAGACAAGGAATAAATCCCAGGTCAACATCCAGAGGAGGCCTTTCTAATGTGCTGCCCCCTAGTGGTGGCGAGGCTTTAAAACAGCGGACTATCGAGGTTTCCTCTGGATCTCTAACATACATTAATCCTTCTCAGACCCGAAGAGACTCTCTGTGATCAGCCAAAGTCACAAGGTCTACAATGGGTCAAATGAACTCAATACGACATCACGTCTGGAAATATCGATTTAAAATGTCTGTCGCGTTTTGAAAAATCAGCAATTCAACCAATGGTGTTTGGGGTGGGGAATTAGTTACATTACAAGAATATGGTTGCCTTCAAATTATCTCTGCTTGGTTACATTATTGCTGGATTGTTACATACTTTCAATGAACTATCAAAGGATCCAGATCATACACAAAGCAATGTATATCTGTTCGCAGAACACTATATAAAAGTGTGCTGAAAGATGTACATATTTATATTTATACTGCTGCATTGGAAATAACATAGAATTGTCTGAGAGTTGCTTGTTCCTTTACAGTGAATTAAAAAAAACATCTTCCAAATGGCAAACATCGACGTGTCTGCGAGCTGAGTGTGTTTGTGAAAAGCCAAACGGTTTTGCGTCAGTGCGAAGAGTGTTTGTAAAATGCACGTCAATGTGTGATAACTGTTGGTCTGCTACAGTTTTCTCATTTGGTTATTATTCATTCTTTATGTAAATCATTTTGTAGAAAACTTATAACAAAGGTTGTATGAAGCAAACAAATGAACATAATCGTAATGTATTAGACAATACTTTGCATCATGACTCAGTATGGTATACATCATCTAATAGTTAGTAACAAGAAACCTTCTAAAATGAAATGGTTAGTTCTAACACTAAATGCAGGCAATTTTTGTAGATTCCGTCTATTTTTCATATAACTCGTTTATCTATCAAAGCAGAAAATGACCACAGGTTCACTTACAGCTCTACAAATGTGAGGCCGTACGTACTTTGAAATGGACACGTTACTGTAGCTAAATTCAAGATGTCCGGCTGGCGCCCAATTGGTGACGAGGGGTCTTGGTCATGTCGGCCCTAACTAATGCCTTTCTTTTAATAAAAGTTTCTTCCTGTTTAGCAGCCCTACCCTCCCAAGTGTTCCTTTTTTCCTACACTTTGATAAGATATTAGACTTATGCCTTTAAAATGCTAAAGGGAAATGTACTGACTGTTTTATTACTCTGTTACTGAATGTGCATGCTCACCAGATCTACGAAAGATTCTTCACAAATAGCTTAGCTAGTGATGGATGTTGGGAAAAGACAAGAATTGTTGGCGGAAGCTCCTTTGAAACTCAGCCTTTTGTCAACCTTGGCAATTGTAGAGAAGACAAATTTGTCCCTATTTTGTCTTATATTGTTTAATTGTATCGGAATTAGAATAAAATTCCAATGTAGTTGATATGAGTGCTTCTTAAAGACTGTGTCTTTGTGAAATACTCAAAAGTCACAGAGCCACTGTATCGTTTGTACATTAGAACGCACAGCAGAGGGTTATACATTGTAGGGTGTACAAGAATCTCACTGGACAGACCTGGACCCACAGATCGCCACATTGTATAAATTATATGCATTACTAAAATTGGACACTATAGGCACCAAAACAACTTTAGGTTAATGAAGTAGTTTTGGTGTATAGATCATGCCCCTGCAGTTCAATTCGCTGCAATTTAGGAGTTAAATTACTTTGTTTATGCAAACCTAGCCACACCTCTCTGCATGTGACTTACACAGCCATCCTAAACACCTCCTGTAAAGAGTCATCTAATGTTTAAACTTCCTTTATTGCAATTCTGTTAAATGTATAATTTCTTATCTCCTGCTTTGTTAATAGCGTGTGTGGAAAATCTAGCCACTTTAGATTGTGCGGTTATATGTTTAAAGGTTGTCCTAGAAAGCTGGTCCAATTCTGTTAGGTTCTGTATTTACTTGTAACTGTAATAGAGAGCATTCGTATTCGAATGGGAGCCCACACATGTGTCCTTAAGGGGTTAATATCCTTACATTATGTATATGATGGTCTTTCATTAGACTAAACAGAGGTGCCTCTAGTAATACTGCCACATAGTTAATAGGGTCCGTAAAACCCCAAAAGTTCACTTGGTTCAACGTTTGCAAATCACAAAAAAACAAACAAACAAAACAGAACAGAATGTTCCCTGAATCCCTGGTGGCAAAGTTATTGGGTATTGTTACCGCTCTGTAAGTCTCCACATGCCAAGAAGGTATTCACATGTCTTTGTTTTTTTTAAATTCTTTATTTTTGCAGTGCATATGATATAACAACGCGCATGGGGTACCCCAACGGCATTCCACATGCTTTTTTATATACATTTATAACAGTAATGAGTATGTTATTGGTTTTATGGTAAATTTTATGGTTAATATACAGTTTTATTTTTAAGTTTATTCACGATTTAGTGTCTATTAAGTGTAAAGCAGTGACAAAACATTTATAGATCAGGTAAGATAGATAAAACATGGATGGGACTGCTTAGGTATGAACTAAATTTTAAGTTACATGCTAGCCAAGACACTACTGTAGTTGTATTTAGTTACTGTTCAGTTACACGTCAAGCATATCACGGTTGATATTGTTTAAATATTAGTTGTCTTTTTACATGCCCACTTCCTTAAACTAAACTTGACCAAAACTGAAATTCTGGTCTTTCCTCCCTCAAGTGATGTTACTCCTGTGTCTGTCTCCCTCCAAATCAACGGTGCTACCAGCAGCTCCACCACGCAGGCTCGCTGCCTAGGTGTTCTCTTTGACTCCGACCTCTCCTTCAAGCCTCATGTTCAATCTATTGCCAAAACCTGTCATTTCCATCTCAAAAACATTGCGCGCATCCGCCCCTACTTAACGCCAGATGCGACTAAGGTGTTGGTCCATTCCACTGTCCTTTCTCGCCTTGACTACTGTAATCCGCTTCTCAGTGGTCTTAAGTGCTCCCAACTAGCGCCGTTGCAGTCCATAATGAATGCGGTCCCTACATTGGCTTCCTATAAAATATAGAGCTCAATTTAAAATTCTGGTTCTTGCTTTCAAATCTCTACATAATGCTGCTCCCACCTATCTATCCTCCCTTATGCACAAGTATGTCCCATCTAGGCCCAGTGGCGTACATACCAGGGTCACAGGGGTCGCGGCTGCGACCGGGCCCGGCCCACCAGGGGGCCTGGCCGCCCCTGCAACCGGGTATGTACCCACAGGGTCAGCCTCTTCTCCTGGGGGGCCCAGAAGGCGGCCACCTCAGGGCCCCCCCGAGGCTGGCCCTGCTGACCCGGGCGGGTGGGCGGGCTGGCTGTCTGGGTGGCCGGCGCGCGAGGGAGCACTTCTCCCCTTCCGTCATCTTCCAGCGCCAGCATCCCTATGAGGCGCGCGAGGGAGCGGAAGAGGAAGCACTCAGGGGAGAGTGCTCCCTCGTGCGCCGCCCACCCAGACAGCCAGCCCGCCCGCCCGCTGGGGTCAGCAGCACCACTGGACCCCAGGGAATCCCCTCAGCTCTCCAAAAGGTAAGGAGGCTGGGGGGATTCAATTTAAAAAAAAAATGTGTGTGTGTGTGTGTTAGTGAGTGTGTTTGTGATTGGGTGTGTGTCTGCTAGTGAGTGTGTTACTGTGTGTGTCTGTTACTGAGTGTGTTTGATGTCTGTTAGTGTGTGTTTGTCAGTGAAAGTGTATGTTTTGTGAGTGTGTATGTAAGTCTGTCACTGAGTGTGTCTCTGTCAGTAAATGTGTGTGTCTGTTAGCTAGTGTGTATGCGTCTGTTCGTGAGAGTGTGTGTGTGTCTTCAGCATTTACCTTTCTCCAGCATCGGACTCAGCTCCGAATGCACATGCACGGCAAGAGGCGCACGCGCATTTAAACCGCCCATAGGAAAGCATTAATCAATGCTTTCCTATGGACGTTCAGTGTCTTCTCACTGTGATTTTCACAGTGAGAATCGTGGAAGCTCCTCTAGCGGCTGTCAATGAGACAGCCACCAGAGGCTGGATTAACCCTCAGTGAAACATAGCCATTTCTCTGAAACGGCTATGTTTTCAGCTGCAGGGTTAAAACTAGAGGGACCTGGCACCCAGACCACTTCATTGAGCTGATGTGATCTGGGTGTCTGTAGTGGTCCTTTAACCCCTTAAGGACACATGACATGTGTGACATGTCATGATTCCCTTTTATTCCAGAAGCTTGGTCCTTAAGGGGTTAAGTGTGTGTGCATACCGCGGTCGCGGGGTCCCATGTGTTGCAGCCCCGACCCGCGCCGAGTAAGCGCAGGGGTGGGCCCACGGATCAATTTTCGCACCGATGGCCCCATTGGTCATGTGTACGCCACTGTCTAGGCCCTTACGATCTGCTGAAGACTTAAGTCTATCTTCTGTCCGTACTCCCACCTCTGATGCTCGTCTTCAAGATTTCTCGAGGGCTGCACCGTTCCTGTGGAACTCGCTTCCCTCCTCCGTTAGATGCTCACCCAGTCTCCACTCCTTCAAAAATTCGTTAAAAACCCACTTCTTCATAAAAGCGTATCAATTAAAGTGTTAATAGCTCCTGACTGATTCTTCTTCTGCAACTGTCATTCGTCTAATACTATCCTTACCTTTTTGTGTCATTTTACCCCACTCCCTCTAGCATGTAAGCTCATTGAGCAGGGCCCTCAACTCCTCTGTTCCTGTGTGTCCAACTTGTCTTTTTACAACTACATGTCTGTTCGTCCACCCATTGTAAAGCGCTGCGGAATTTGACTGTGCTCTATAAATATCATAATAATAATAATAATAAGCAAACAGGAGTAATTATGTAGACCTCTGGGGTCGAGCCAACTGCTTTGAGGATATTTCAAATAGGAGGAATATATAGCCCCGGACCCAGACAAGCCGGCACAGCGATCATTGGGTAGTTAACCTAAGCTTGGTGCCTATACTCGCCCGTGGTAAGACTAGCATAAAAATAAATAGTAGCTGTATTTCTGAGCCAGAGGGGTTTCTTTGAAGCCTGCCTCCGAGTTAATGTTTCACAAAATAATAAGTAAGGCAAAACTTAATAAAATTGCAAACACAAATGCAAACAATGTGTGTAACAATACTAGGAAAGAAAATTCCTGAGAGGCATGACAGGCTTATTACTTCTGGTAGGAGCCCCACGGTGAGGGCCAGTGGACAGAGAGACTACTAAGTAAGGATCATCTATATTGGATACATAGGCTATTAAATAACTGCACACAACATTACACTCTTGTAGCCGGTCTGCTGCCATGTGTAACTCAGGGTTTACCCCTCACGGATCAGTCACAGAGCCGGTCTCAGCCTATGCCAGCAGGGGTACAATGCAGTCCCAGAGTGAAGAGGTACACTGCCTGTCATCTTGCCACGATGTGATACGGTAGGTTGGGGTTTGTATCTTGTGTGTATTGCTGCTCAGCCCTTTAGGTTGCGGTTGTGGTCCTGCTTGTGTGCGCTTGGGAGATTTCTTCAGTGCCATTTTGAGGCTCAGCACTGTGCTTCTCCTACTCCGCTGCCATTATGGGATTCACGCAGCAGGAGATGTGTGCTTAAGTGGAGAGCGTTTGGGTAAGTAGGCATCTTTATGTGGCAGAGAGGGCTGGAGCATGAGGCATTTTAGTTTCCGCCAGAAGTCAGAGAAGTGTCCATCTTTGTCGGCACCAGGGATCCCAGGTGTACAGTGCGGTACCTTGCTTGAGGGACCTGCTCCCCGATGCAACTTGAGGGTTGGTGTTTGCCGTGTGTCAGTAGCCTGTGTTGTGTTCTCTGGCCTGCTGTGCCTCCGACACCTTCTTCCGCTTCGGGCTTGCCCCTGTTCTGGAGCTGCGGTCTTGCGTTGCATCTGGAGGGGTAGGCATCTTGCCTGGGTGTCATGGTGGATACTTGTAATTTGCAGTGGCAGACGTCGAGCCGGCTTGTGCCTGGATGTCACATTGCTTTCTGCAGGTTCAGGGAGAGAGCTTTTCTTCCCTCTGGCTTTGGCTCTCATGTCATCCGCAATTTTAATTGAAGCGCCCGGGCCGCGTTTAAGGGTGGTAGTGTCGCAGGGCTCGGGTTCTGTCGCAGCAGTGTAAGGACTGGGATCACCCCCACCGGTTCCGAGGAGGGGGAACAGGGCCTGGTCCACACGGCTTTGGGACTCTGGCTGGGCTCTGTTAGGCAGGATAGTGGAGCAGCGGCCGTCCGCCCCACTCACCGTCTGTCCCAATCGGGACATCCAAGACCTCTCCTCCAGGGGACTGCAGGTCGAGGAGCCAGCCTCACCCTGGATCCAGTTTCTTCTTTGCATTGAGGACTGTTGCTGGTGGTCATTATTGACGGTAAAAAAATCGTGGTTTTAAGGCTTGAGGTTTGGTAACTTGCAGGAGCTGAGTGTGCATGCGACCATCCAGCGCGGCGGTCCCGCCTCCCGTTATTCATATGTTTTAAGAGGAAACCATCGCTTTTCTGGAACCGAAGTGAATGAATAAAACATTAAAATCACCTTTTGTTTCTTCCATGTGAAGCTATTTTTTATTTTAAATGTTTTAAAAACTTGAACAAATGACAAGTAATCCAGTTCGATCTAGGCACAGCCAGGGCAAGCATTGCAAATGAGGAAATTAAAAAGAAACATTGTTTATTACTCCCCTTCTCTTTACACCTCGGCAGCACATATTTATTAAATATAGGGAATAAGTAAGATGTTTAATTAATTAATTCAGGGATTATTAGTGGTTGGAGTGGTGCCTCCAGAATCTTGGAAATAGCTGACTACATGGAATGTTCACACCGTACTCTACCTAGAAATGATAGAAAATGGCGTAATAAACACAATAAACATTTGGTGAGTGGCTGTTCTGTGGAAAAATACTGAATTCCAGGTAGTTATGCAAACTAGCAGGGCCGGTATTTTCCCCCCAAAAAAGGTGGAAACCCTACTTCTACGTCAGCGCATGCAAAATGCCGACAGGTTAAAAACCAAGGAACAAAGATATTGCCAGAGGGAGACATAGCCTTGTTCTTATGCCTGTAACTACATACATTGAATTTTCTACACCTTACCAAAGAGAATTCAGAATTTATTCCATTTTTATACAACTGTTGAGGATGAAAGGTTAAATCAATCTCTCTGCTAAAGGTTAACTGCAAATTCATTAATAAGATATGACATAAAAAGGAATTATATCTGTATATAATACTGCTCTGGATATAAATAAAATATCATTTAATATCAACTATATATAAAAATATAGCCATATGCATATATTGTTCCTAAAATGATTAAAATGTGAAATGAAATGAATTACATTTCATGATATAAAGACGTGCCTTTTTTATTATAGCGTACCTAACATAAGTAAGATGCAATGCTATTTAACATATACCAGCCCATATATTACACTCTTACTCACGATATTAATAATAATATAACAGGTCCCCACGTTATATTACCGAGCACATACTTCATATTTTTGATTGGAATGTGGGGTGCTAGGAGTGATATCAAAGATGCATAATAAATAATATATATTATATGGGGTACCTGGAGTAATATTAAAGATTAATAATAAGTTATATGATATATTACATAGGGGGGTCAATGCAGCCAGGGTGGGGGATTATATTAATAATAAGTCTTATTATATATTACTATTATGAGTGGTGAAGCTTAGGGGAGAATTATATTCACGTTTAATAATAAGTAATATTCTACATATGAGGTATTATATACAGTATAGAGTGCAGTCTGGGGGAGGATGATATTAATAATAAGTAATATTATATATTAATACCGTGTGTGATACTGTCTGGGGGACTTAATAATAAGTAATATTATATATTAATACCGTGTGTGATCCTGTCTGGGGGAGGATGATATTAATAATAAGTAATATTATATATTATATATTAATACCGTGTGTGATACTGTCTGGGGGAGGATGATATTAATAATAAGTAATATTATATATTATACATTAATACCGTGTGTGATACTGTCTGGGAGGATGATATTAATAATAAGTAATATTATATATTATATATTAATACCGTGTGTGATACTGTCTGGGAGGATGATATTAATAATAAGTAATATTATATATTAATACCGTGTGTGATACTGTCTGGGGGAGGATGATATTAATAATAAGTAATATTATATATTATATATTAATACCGTGTGTGATACTGTCTGGGGGAGGATGATATTAATAATAAGTAATATTATATATTATATATTAATACCGTGTGTGATACTGTCTGGGGGGAGGATGATATTAATAATAAGTAATATTATATATTATATATTAATACCGTGTGTGATACTGTCTGGGGGGAGGATGATATTAATAATAAGTAATATTATATATTATATATTAATAGCGTGTGTGATACTGTCTGGGGGAGGATGATATTAATAATAAGTAATATTATATATTATATATTAATAGCGTGTGTGATACTGTCTGGGGGAGGATGATATTAATAATAAGTAATATTATATATTATATATTAATACCGTGTGTGATACTGTCTGGGGGAGGATGATATTAATAATAAGTAATATTATATATTATATATTAATAGCGTATGTGATACTGTCTGGGGGAGGATGATATTAATAATAAGTAATATTATATATTATATATTAATAGCGTGTGTGATACTGTCTGGGGGAGGATGATATTAATAATAAGTAATATTATATATTATATATTAATAGCGTGTGTGATACTGTCTGGGGAGGATGATATTAATAATAAGTAATATTATATATTATATATTAATAGCGTGTGTGATACTGTCTGGGGGAGGATGATATTAATAATAAGTAATATTATATATTATATATTAATACCGTGTGTGATACTGTCTGGGAGGATGATATTAATAATAAGTAATATTATATATTAATACCGTGTGTGATACTGTCTGGCGGGAGGAGGATATTAATAATAAGTAATATTATATATTATATATTAATACCGTGTGTGATACTGTCTGGGGGGGGGAGGATGATATTAATAATAAGTAATATTATATATTATATATTAATACCGTGTGTGATCCTGTCTGGGGGAGGATGATATTAATAATAAGTAATATTATATATTATATATTAATACCGTGTGTGATCCTGTCTGGGGGAGGATGATATTAATAATAAGTAATATTATATATTATATATTAATAGCGTGTGTGATACTGTCTGGGGGAGGATGATATTAATAATAAGTAATATTATATATTAATACCGTGTGTGATACTGTCTGGGGGACTTAATAATAAGTAATATTATATATTATATATTAATACCGTGTGTGATCCTGTCTGGGGGAGGATGATATTAATAATAAGTAATATTATATATTATATATTAATAGCGTGTGTGATACTGTCTGGGGAGGATGATATTAATAATAAGTAATATTATATATTATATATTAATACCGTGTGTGATACTGTCTGGGGGAGGATGATATTAATAATAAGTAATATTATATATTATATATTAATACCGTGTGTGATACTGTCTGGGGGGAGGATGATATTAATAATAAGTAATATTATATATTATATATTAATACCGTGTGTGATACTGTCTGGGGGAGGATGATATTAATAATAAGTAATATTATATATTATATATTAATACCGTGTGTGGGGGGAGTCCCTTTCTCTCTCCCTCCCCCCCCCCCGTTTGCATCATGTGACCTGGCACTCGGCGTGACGTCATTTCCGCTCCGGGCCTGCCAGCTGAGAACCGGAGGGACCTCGGACGGTGAGTAACCGGAAGTAACGGCGGCCGGAGATCCCGGACTCTCAGCGCTAAACACGTTAACCCTTTCATAGCGGCTGTACTGAGAGCGAGACCTGTGTGTGCTGGCAGGGAATGGGCCCCCAGGGGCCACTGTGTCTAACATTCCCCCCCCAGCCTGCCTGAGTGTGAGTGAGCTCAGTGTTTATATCTCATAGTGTGAGTGAGCTCAGTGTTTATATCTCATAGTGTGAGTGAGCTCAGTGTTTATATCTCTGAGTGTGAGTGAGCTCAGTGTTATATCTCTGAGTGTGAGTGAGCTCAGTGTTTATATCTCTGAGTGTGAGTGAGCTCAGTGTTATATCTCTGAGTGTGAGTGAGCTCAGTGTTTATATCTCTGAGTGTGAGTGAGCTCATCCATATTTATATCTTAGTGTGAGTGAGCTCATCAATGTTTATATCTCATAGTGTGAGTGAGCTCAGTGTTATATCTCATAGTGTGAGTGAGCTCAGTGTTATATCTCATAGTGTGAGTGAGCTCAGTGTTATATCTCATAGTGTGAGTGAGCTCAGTGTTATATCTCATAGTGTGAGTGTGAGTGAGCTCAGTGTTATATCTCATAGTGTGAGTGTGAGTGAGCTCAGTGTTATATCTCATAGTGTGAGTGTGTGTGAGCTCAATGTTTATATCTCATAGAGTGAGCTCATCAATGTTTATGTCATAGTGAGTGTGAGTGAGCTCAGTGTTTATATCTCATAGTGTGACTGAGCTCAGTGTTTATTTCCCAGTGTGAGTGAGCTCATCAATGTTTATATCTCATAGTGTGAGTGAGCTCATCAATGTTTATATCTCATAGTGTGAGTGAGCTCATCAATGTTTATATCTCATAATGTGAGTGAGCTCATCAATGTTTATATCTCATAATGTGAGTGAGCTCATCAATGTTTATATCTCATAGTGTGAGTGAGCTCATTAATGTGTAAATCTCATAGTGTGAGTGAGCTCATCAATGTTTATATCTCATAGTGTGAGTGAGCTCATCAATGTTTATATCTCATAGTGTGAGTGAGCTCATCAATGTTTATATCTCATAGTGTGAGTGAGCTCATCAATGTTTATATCTCATAGTGTGAGTGAGCTCATCAATGTTTATATCTCGTAGTGTGAGTGAGCTCATTAATGTGTAAATCTTATCTAGTGTGACTATGAGTAGTCTCACTTCCCATCTATGATGAGTATGAGTGGCTGGCTTCCTGAGAGACATCTAGTTTTGCTTTCACATTGGATTTCCTGAGTGCGTTATGTACTATCTAGTGTGAATACAGTGTATCTCATTCGGTATGAGTGTAGTGACTGCCACTCTGTGTATCTCATTCGGTGTGAGTATGAGTGTAGTGACGGTCCCTCTGTGTATCTCATTCAGTGTGAGTATGAGTGTAGTGACGGTCCCTCTGTGTATCTCATTCAGTGTGAGTATGAGTGTAGTGACGGTCACACTGTGTATCTCATTCAGTGTGAGTATGAGTGTAGTGACGGTCCCTCTGTGTATCTCATTCAGTGTGAGTATGAGTGTAGTGACGGTCACACTGTGTATCTCATTCAGTGTGAGTATGAGTGTAGTGACGGTCACACTGTGTATCTCATTCAGTGTGAGTATGAGTGTAGTGACGGTCACACTGTGTATCTCATTCAGTATGCGTGTAGTGACGGTCACACTGTGTATCTCATTCAGTGTGAGTATGAGTGTAGTGACGGTCACACTGTGTATCTCATTCAGTGTGAGTATGAGTGTAGTGACGGTCACACTGTGTATCTCATTCGGTGTGAGTATGAGTGTAGTGACGGTCACACTGTGTATCTCATTCGGTGTGAGTGTAGTGACGGTCACACTGTGTATCTCACTCGTTGTGAGTATGAGTGTAGTGACGGTCACACTGTGTATCTCATTCGGTGTGAGTGTAGTGACGGTGACACTGTGTATCTCATTCGGTGTGAGTATGAGTGTAGTGACGGTGACACTGTGTATCTCATTCGGTGTGAGTATGAGTGTAGTGACGGTCACACTGTGTATCTCATTCGGTGGGAGTGTAGTGACGGGTCACACTCGTGTATCTCACCTCGCTGTGAAAGTATGTGAGTGTAGTGACGGTCACACTGTGTATCTCACTCGTTGTGAGTATGAGTGTAGTGACGGTCACACTGTGTATCTCATTCGGTGTGAGTGTAGTGACGGTCAAACTGTGTTTCTCATTCGTTGTGAGTATGAGTGTAGTGACGGTCACACTGTGTTTCTCATTCGGTGTGAGTATGAGTGTAGTGACTGTCACACTGTGTATCTCATTCGGTGTGAGTATGAGTGTAGTGACAGTCACACTGTGTATCTCATTCGGTGTGAGTATGAGTGTAGTGACAGTCACACTGTGTATCTCATTCGGTGTGAGTATGAGTGTAGTGACAGTCACACTGTGTATCTCATTCGGTGTGAGTATGAGTGTAGTGACGGTCACACTGTGTATCTCATTCGGTGTGAGTGTAGTGACGGTCACACTGTGTATCTCACTCGTTGTGAGTATGAGTGTAGTGACGGTCACACTGTGTATCTCTATCTCTCGGTGAGTATGAGTGTAGTGACGGTCACACTGTGTATCTCATTCGGTGTGAGTGTAGTGACGGTCAAACTGTGTTTCTCATTCGTTGTGAGTATGAGTGTAGTGACGGTCACACTGTGTTTCTCATTCGGTGTGAGTATGAGTGTAGTGACAGTCACACTGTGTATCTCATTCGGTGTGAGTATGAGTGTAGTGACAGTCACACTGTGTATCTCATTCGGTGTGAGTATGAGTGTAGTGACAGTCACACTGTGTATCTCATTCGGTGTGAGTATGAGTGTAGTGACAGTCACACTGTGTATCTCATTCGGTGTGAGTATGAGTGTAGTGACAGTCACACTGTGTATCTCATTCGGTGTGAGTATGAGTGTAGTGACAGTCACACTGTGTATCTCATTCGGTGTGAGTATGAGTGTAGTGACAGTCACACTGTGTATCTCATTCGGTGTGAGTATGAGTGTAGTGACAATCACACTGTGTATCTCATTCGGTGTGAGTATGAGTGTAGTGACAGTCACACTGTGTATCTCATTCGGTGTGAGTATGAGTGTAGTGAAGTTCATGCTGTGTTCATGTCATAGCCTTCCTGTACAATGTGTGATTCTGCACTCCAGTCAAAACATAATTTATGGGAATTGGTTAAAGAACTCTGTTTCTTTCTTATTTGTGCTATTACGCAGGAAACCCATATCTTCTGCCGATCAGACTGATCTCACCCTTAAATAGAGTCCAGATAAAAGGCCAGGCCTTTCTGATTGAGATACAGAACCCTCAGACGCTCATTTCTCTCCAGTGTATCTGATACCCTTCTATGCACCATGATCGAGGGTTTCCGGTTTATAGACTCTGGGCCCAAACAAGCTTTGTTTTATTCCATCTCCTTTGTTCCATATGTTAGCTTGGTGTGGTGTCTACTTACTATCCCCTCTGCCGACGATCGTACTTCGCTCCCATTGTCTGTTGTTTGACGAGTCACCAGTATTATGTCAGAGTAGAATTCCATCCTCTGTTTATTTAGGTGTATTTGTTTTTCATAATTTTTAATTAGGTTTTAGAATGTACATCCTGTTTCAAAAAAAGAAATGCAAAGCCCAGCGCTCCCTCGGTCTGTGTGATGTATTTCCAGATACACATCAGCAGTAAGAGTTTTTAAACGAGTTCCCTGGTACTTACCAAGTCACGCATCACGTTTATAGTGCAAGTTAAAGAACAGGAGCAGCCATACAGATCATGTTATTCAGTAGTAGTAACCATAGTGATACAATTAACAAAAGCAGTGGTGGGATGCAGTTGCTATGTTATTTAAATCATAACAGTGATTTTAACAAAGCCTACATGGAAAAACAAACAATCAATATATGTATCTTAGCCGCTAAATTTAAGCATTTTGGTTAATGGGCCCTCTATCCCCCTCCCACCCCTATAAAGATTACCTTAAACCTTTTTCCACCACTGAGACAGAATCCACATGGCAGTCCAATCCTTCTCCTGTGACGTCATCAACCTTGATACCTATTGTCCAGTCAAATGGGGCATCCAGTGCATGCGTCCACCAATCCAATACTTTGTATGAAAAGCATCGAAACCGGTGCTTATACACAATGCCTTGCATCAGATTACCTTGCATGCTGGCTGTCTCATTAACGTGTGGATAAAATTCCATGAGCATTTATGTGTGCCTGCAGGGTTTAGCTCAGGTGATTCTCTCAGCCAATGAGCCAAGTAAGAGGTCAAACCATTCAAAACCGATTTGACTATTTACAGTGGTGGTGTAGGGGGAGGGAGCCAGGTACTCATTGCACCATATCCACAATTGCGAACTGTCGTAGTTATGGTGCGATGAGTAGTCTTTGGAAACTATAGGGCTCCACTCCCTCCCCGAGGTGCAGAACAGGTTAAAAACCCCATTATGTGACTTACTGAGTCCAGCGCCAAAGTCCCTTTTAGCAATGGTCCAGTTGGACTGGTTTGCAAAACATATCAATAAAAATAATTTCAATAATAATGTTCCATTCTCTGTTTTGTGAATAAACCCAAGGTGGGTAAAGTTTTGACAAATCAGTGGTGATGTGTACTCCCCATTGTTCTATTTGGTTTTCTCTCTGTGATGTTTGATAAAACAAGGATGTGTACTGATGCTCATAGAAGCGTACTGAATAATTTGTAAGCATTGCGTCAACATGCAAATACACACGTGTTATATTTGGAGGAAGGGTGAGATTTATTAAAGTTGTTTTTTTTTTTTTTTTTTTATTTTATTTTTGGTCTTTAATCTGTTTGTATTTATTAGATTGTTCTCAAAATATTTTTTTAAAAGCGTCAGTTTTTTACAGATTGATTTCCACCATTTTTTTGCAGAAATTATTTTTTTTTTTTTAAGGAAAGACAGGCAAATTCAACACAGAACCATCATGGCTCAGTTTTGGGAGTTTAGCTTAAAGAGAATGTTTATATAAAATTTGCCCAATATTTTGAATACACTTAATAAATCATGGTTTAAATAATATACAAAAATTAAGTTGAGTTTCTTAAAAAGATTTTTATAACATTTATTTTAAAATAAAAATGCTACTGATATTTGGATGCCCAGAGAGAATCTCCCATTCATTGTGATCTGTGATATTATAGCTCCTGTCTTTCAGATGTTTATAGGAGAAGTAGATTGCACACATCACAGGATTAGTGGAACGGCTCTATAAACCAAGAGTGCCCATATTGCAGTTGCTACAGATTTAGAGACCGCTTAGTTTGCTATTTAGTGAATTGGGCAGCTGTTTGCAGAACTATGGCCCGGTTCCCTGTCCGCTCACACTGCCCCCACAAAATGGACAAAACTGACACACGGAGCTGGCACTGATGGTTCAAGCTACAGCATTGTGAGAATTGTGTTTCCAGAACTTGAGATCGCTAATATGCTGATTTATAGAATATTTGATTAATATACTGCAGTCGTGTTTTACAGAGGCCGTTTCTCTCTCAATCTCATACTCGGCCATGTATTTCATCATGTGTTGATGGGGAGCTAATTACAGTTTGTGATTCCTTGGTTTCTGGTTCTTCCTGTATGACGTTTCACCACGCTCTTTCTACTTGTTCCAGCACGTTGAATAAAGGGACCCACATTTCCAGACAGATTGCTGACGGCTCCGAGATGAATAGGTGAATTTATGAGAGATGTTAAATTCCAAGTCTCTATCTGGTGACCCTTATGGGATGTCTTGTAGCGTTTGTCATTGTAGTTGAGAATATGATTCTGATATATGTAGTCGCTGACCCGTTACTTTATTTTTTTAGCTCCTCAGGTCCACGTGTAGTGTATAACGGCAAGCGACCTACAAGCAGCACGCGCTCTCCAAGCAGTAGTGAGATATTCACGCCAGCCCACGAGGAAAATGTGCGCTTTATATACGAAGGTTGGACTTTCATTGTTTTATTTAATTCTAGGGGAAGAGTGTACTCCGTGCATGATAGAGAGTATTATAGGCTCAGTGTGGGAAACTAACACATAAGGGAGAATACTTCATCTGTTTCTGGAGCCCATGGCCTGAGACCAGGACGACACGGTTACAAACATGGATTCCTAGTGGTATAGTGACCTGTAGCAGGTTAGTAGATACCTCCCCTGTGCATGAAAGGTAGATTTACTTACTTTTTATTACTCATCGCACTGCTCTCCATGGCCGCTTCACAATTATAGCTGAGATAATCAATTCTGATGAGCTCAGCCAATCCAGTGCTTCCCCATAGAGAAGCATTAAGAGTCTAGGTCACATGTGCTGTGGTGAAGATTAATAGCTATACAGAAAGGGTAGTAGTTACTTGGAATAGCCTTCCAGTGCACATTGTACTTGCACAAAGCAGACTTGGGGTGTGCATAGAGGAGTCCCGAAGAAGAAATAAGCAAACTTAATGTTAAGTAATCCCTCTGCCCTGCACATGGGGAGATTGAAAAGCATGAAGCTAATCCATTTCTTTCATACCTATCACGGGTGTTGGGGTTCCTTACATATTACTAAATATCTTTCCATACATATAATGTGTGTATACATTAACCCTTGTTCTCAGTCACCCTCGCTTTCATTTTGTCTGGCGGTCTATCTAAACACTTTAATGTTATCTTGATAAAAGTCCTATATGGGGCTGAAATACCGCTCTGTATGGAAATTGCACTTGCTTGCTTCTATGGAATAATGCCCAAAATTGAGATTTTTTTATTCCCAACAGCTTGGCAATGTGTGGAGAGAGATCTGAGGAACCAGGTTTCTGGTATGGATCGAGGGCTGGTGGAGGAATATGTAGAGAAAACCCCAAGTAATGCTCTGAAATGTAAGTATTTTAAGCTAAAATTGGAAGCTGGGTATCAGGGAACGACCGAGACAAAATCTCTCAGGAATATATCCTCTTAAAGGAACACTACAGTAATGGAACACATATTTAGTCTGTGGAGTTTAAAGATGCTAAACTTACCTTTTCTTATTTGTTGTGCCAGGTGTTGCTAGGCAACAATGTAAACACTGCTTACTCTGAAAAGGTAGCATTAACATTGCTCAGCCTGACACCAGAACTACTACGTTACGCTGTATTGGTTCTGGTGACTATACTGTCTCTTTATTGAAGCATGTCACCTTCTCAAATACTGACCTTAAATGGAGTCTTAACCCTTCTTGGTGTGACTTCTTTAAGCAGCTTCTCAGGGTGTATGAACAAGCCTGTCAGCGCAGGATAGAACGTTATTAAAGGTTACTCCAACACTTTGTAAGACATCATTTTTTATTTATTTTTTACTTACAATGTCCTATTGGACTTTAATAAGTAGCGCTTCCCCACAATACTTCACGCTTACCTGGAATCCTGCACTGGATGAAGCTCCCAGCATTTAGGCTGAAACGCTAATAAAGTGGTCATGGTGATTGGAGTAAGCCTGTAAAAGGTACAGGACTTTTTATATAACATATGGTATACAATTCCCTTACATAACCAAAACAAATATTTTGCTAAACCGTAAATTTTAACCTATATTTTACCATCAATCTTTCTCCTGCCACTGTCTACTTTCTTTTATTTTTTTTCTTCTCATAAATTATTTGTCAGTAATCCACTAATCCACTTGGGTTTATTAGGATAGAGTTAATGTCTGTCGGCATAGTTTATCTATACCTGCACATTAACCCAAAGCTCAGAACCAGCAGCGCTAAATACATTAAAAACGAAATAGTTCAGACTTTATTTTCCAATACCTGATGTGATAGGGAACATATGGACATTATTCTGAATTGGAACAAACCCACATCAATGTCAAAGTTAGTATGTTGTTGATTAGTTACAAAGCGAGGTGGGAATAGACTCTCCTTATTTTATAGTTATAGTCTTATTTCATTGGGGAATATTTAACGCAGTGGGCCACAGCTGCTTTGCATAATGTGTGCATTTTGGTCAAAATCGTTGAACTCTGCTGGCAGCTTCTCATTAAATAGGAATTCTTCCCATCACTGGCAGCTAAATAAAACTAGGTTCTGTAGCGTGATGTTCAGTAATGTAAATCTCCGCATGTTGATCAGTATGTGCGCACCATCTACTGCATTACGCTATTGCTTTATTCTTTTTTTTAATTTTAATAAGGGCAGGTTTGTTCATTCTGTGAGAGTGTCTGTATGATATAATCTAACGCTAGCTCTTTTTCTCTCTGTAACAGCCTTTAAACCTGTTGATCTGAACGATTTGAAGAGGAGAAACACACAAGACCCCAAGAAATCGTAACCTGACCACGTGACATTTCAGTTTGGACGCACTTTTATTTTCCTCCATTTCGGTTCCTAATTTCTGACATAAAGAGGCTGCTCTTGAACTTTACGTTGTGGACTAAGCAGAGTTGTCCTGAAACGGGATCTTCAACTGCCCCCATACCTTATGAGCCTGTCTGACCCACATCTTTTGCGTCCTATACCCACATACTGACAGATTACTGAACTTTTTATTTCTTTTTAATGGGAAGCTGAGTGTGCGGGCAGTATATGCATTCTCACCTTGTGCTGCCACTCTGGAGTTTCAAGTGGAATCGCTTAAAATTACAGCTTGACAGGCTATTAAATTGTTCATACTACTGTGTGGACCTGTGCACCTTCCTAAAGGCCCCGAAAGGGTATATTTGTACAAATAACATCTTTTACGTGTTGGAAGACACTATTTTATATTGTGTGTGTATTTGTACACTCATTAATAATACAACTATATCACCAGTGTCATATCAGCCTTGTGAAAGCAGAGGAACACAAGGTAGAGTGGTGACAAGTGTATCACAGCCCCCTTACCCCAAAGAGGAGTTTACCTGCTTGTGAGTGGATGTACTTTACATTTGATGGTAGACAAGTCACTTATTGCAGTGACATAGTCCATGAAAGGTGAGAAGTACATTAAGTCATTACATAGAAATCAGTTCACGAACTGTTTAATAAAAAAGGCTTTGGCAGTCATCTCCACCAACATCCCTTAGTACTGCCATGCCTTCATAAGCCGCCCCACATTTGACGTGCTTCTCGTAAGGGAGACCCCACAATGTAATGGTAAATTGGCTGCATCCCCCGACCTTCAAATTTGTGGATTTTAAACCTTGTTCAAATCAATCAATGGATAAACATTTGTGCTATTTTTTTGTCAAACATTTAGCCCCACAGTCGCGAGTAGGAAATTATTTTAATTATTTAAATGTTTAGTTATGACCCCATACACAGATGACTTGTAGGGGAATTGTCTTTTTTCCAATGGCGAGAATCCTGTTTTCCCTGAGCCATTTTATCCTACTGAAACATACGGTAGAGGTAAACATATAGCGCTGGCATCGTCGGAGGTGTAAACACCGCTTTTTTACTTCATTTATCTGCATTACAAAGCGGACACACGTGTTGCTGTGACATCCTTCCATTGATGGCGTGTACACATCTGCTCCTTGACCGTATCATGAGATACGTTTACTTTGTATACCAGGCTGTACATGGGCAGCCTGGCGCACAATGTAACATTAAACTAAAAGTAAAGTAGCAAAAAAATTAAAGCACAAATCCTGGTTAACTTTTAACTTGTGCAAATAAATGAAAGGCTCACAGATAAACACCAGTGTGCAGGCACATTTATAGATAGCATAAAGGCTAAATAGGGTAAAATGAAATAGAGAAAAAAAGATCTATGCATTGGGTAGTTGTTTCATATGACTGGTGCAGTTTAATTGGCAAGTGTGTGTTTTTTGTTCCCCTGGTTTTTTTTTTATCTGTTACTCTGGAATATTCACATTTGTTTTAAGTTAGCGCAGTAAAATCTGTTGCACCTGGTTTGGGAACGTTTATTTCTATGTGAGCAGTAACATAATTCGAGAGTCAATATAATCCTTGTACAATACTTTATACACCTGCAACATCACAGCCCATGGAACCTGCTGACTGCAGTACAATAGACCAGCAGTCAGGGACCTGGAGCAGAACAGCAAACGGCTTCAGTGAAACCTTAACCTTGTGAGCGACAAAATTTTGTGTGAAGTCTGGAATTCAAAAAAATAAATAAAAAAAAATCGGAGACAGCTGTGTTTTCAGTTTGGCTAATCTTGCTTGCAGTTTGAAGTTTATGACTAGTTGGAAACCCTAGTTTTAGGACCATGATTGCTAGCAGAACACCAACACAAGTGTAGAACACAACACATTAAGAGTTAATCAAAGCATCATGGCCAATTGAGTGAGTTGAAATGGTCATGTGACTGAGATGCTCTCAGTCAATGAAAGACGATTATCTACAGATTTGTCAGCAGAGGAACTGGGGTCCTGGGCAAGAGTGCACACAATTGCTAAACCACTTGCCCCATTAAGTTGATCCGAGCAAGGGTACACCTTGATTCATAATCACTAAAGAGGTCTGATTATGATGCTTTAAATTCTATTAATCACCCTAACAGCTTCTCCTTCTGCTATCGGCCTTCCCATTATGGAGGTACCCAGTTTGCTCTAAGGCTTTAAGCACCACTGTAAAACCCTTTACTTGTGAAAAGCCTGTTTGCTCCAACACAGGAAAGCTGCTGGTATTTTCAGTGTCTGGATAGTAACAATTCACTTGTCAGGAGCTCAGATATATGCTTTATATCAAGCTGAGATGTTAATCCAATCTTAGAAATGAAACGGTTTGTGTTATAGAAGGAGAGATGGGGGGTCACTCGCTGTATCTCTCTGCAAGATCTAATCTATAAGATTGTCGCCTGTGAATCCCCTGCAACTCCTCTACTCCAAACATAAACCTTCACTAGATGTAAACCTACAAGCTGTGCAGTGTTATAAACAGAACTCTAAAAGTGACCCATTTTTCAATATCCAAAAATTAATCTTATCTCTAAAAATAAGCTGAAAAATATGTTTTTAAACATAGAAACATAGAATGAGACGGCAGCTTAGAACCATTTGGCCCATCTAGTCTGCCCAATTTTTTTTCGAAATCCTTCTTAGTCCCTGGCCTTATCTTATAGTTAGGATAGCCTTTTGCCTATCCCACACATGCTTAAAGGACCACTATAGTGCCAGGAAAACATACTCGTTTTTCTGGCACCATAGGGTCTCTAGGTCCCCCTCACCCTCAGGGCCCCCCTCCCGCCGGGCTCTAGGGAGTGGAAGGGGTTCGATTTACCTCTTTTTCCAGCGCCGGACGGGGAACTCTCCTCTCTTCCTCCATATCGCCGTCATCGGCTAAATGCGCATGCGTGGCAGTAGCCACGCGCACATTCAGCCAGTCCATAGGAAAGCATTCTCAATGCTTTCTTATGGACACTGGCATCTTCTCACTGTGAAAATCACAGTGATAAGCGCCTCTAGCGGCTGTCAATGAGACAGCCACTAGAGGCTGGGTTAACTCATTTGTAAACAGCAGTTTCTCTGAAACTGCTATGTTTATAGAAGAAAGGGTTAATGCTAGATGGACCTGGCACCCAGACCACTTCATTGAGCTGAAGTGGTCTGGGTCCATTTAGTGGTCCTTTAAACTCCTTTACTGTGTTAAACTCTACCACTTCAACTGGAAGGCTATTCCGTGCATCCACTACCCTCTCAGTAAAGTAATACTTCCAGATATTATTTTTAAACCTTTGCCCCTCTAATTTAAGACTATGTCCTCTTGTTCTGGTAGTTTTTCTTCTTTTAAGTATAGCCTCCTACTTTACTGTGTTGATTCCCTTTATGTATTTAAATGTTTCTATCATATCCCCCCTGCCTCGTCTTTCCTCCAAACTATACATGTTAAGATCCTTTAAATTTTCAATTTTTTTCATGAGCTTTTTTTAAATGATGTGCTGCAGAAAACGTTCTCCGGTACCTAGGAACTACTCAAAATCCACCCTCTCCAGAGAGTAGAGAAGGGGTTCCCAAAAGTTAGATACCCAGATGTTGTAGAACTACAACTACCATGATGCTTTGCATGCCTTTAGAATGACAAAGCATCATGGAAGCTGTAGTTTAAAAACATCTGGGTATCTACCTTTTGGGCACCCCTGGTCTAGAAGTATAGATCTCAGATCTTCATTCTGTTTCAGCATTTTGGAAGGCAATGAGGGCACTGCCAGTATCTCAGCACCTTCAGACACCAATGAACCAATACCGGAGAGGAACAGTCCGAAGGACCAGAGAAGATGTGTCCTTATCAATGTTCTTGCTATTCATTCTGTTGCAGACTGACATGACGTTCACTACTTTAAGATGTACTATGGACAGAGTTGCATCTTGACATCTCTGGGGCAACTGGTACCAGTACCAAATTATTTTAGAAGAGCTGATGATATGTAAGGCCATGTTATATATCAAAGAAACATTTATCAAACATTTAAATCAGTGAACACAATCAAGCATTTTTCCTTTGAGATGTGCACGGGGAAAAATTAGTTTTGTGTCAACGTGATCTTTTTGAATTTCTAAAATTATCGATTCGAATGCCCCTTTATTAATTCCGATTTTTACTTTGTTTAGTAGAAATCTCCTTAATTTGCTGTCCTTTCGGGCCATTGACATACTTAGGGATGCCAGATTAGGGAGCTATCTACTAAACAGCTGAAAGATCAAAAATAAACAAATCCCTCTTCTTAAATTTGCTCTTTCATTTGTTTAGTAGATTTAATTTTCTATCCTTATGAAAACAAATTGATCAGAAATCAGTTTTTTCCGTAGAATCGGATTCTGCAGAATTAGCCTAATCCAAATTTGATTCAAAATAAAACAAATTGTACTTGTCCATTAATCATTAAATATACAAGAATTTGGTTGCTAGTGCATGAAAATGTTAAAAAAAAAACAAACACCATTTTATTCAGTAAAAATAATGGTATCAAAGAAACCCCCAAAATAATAATTTTTAAAAACTGTGAACTATTAAAGGACCACTATAGTGCCAGGAAAACAAACTTGTTTCCCTGGCACTATAGTGTTAATAGGTCCTCCCCACCCTCATGGCTCCCCTCCTGCAGGGCTGAAGTGGGAGGAAGGGGTTAAAAACTTACCTTTCTCCAGCGCCGGGCTCCCTCTGCGCTGGGGACTCTCCTCCTACTTCCGACGTCATCGGCTGGATGCGCATGCGCGGCAAGAGACATGCACACATATAGTCAGTCCATAGGAAAGTATTTCTCAATGCTTTCCTATGGACGCTGGCATATTATCACAGTGAGAAGCACGGAAGCACCTCTAGCGGCTGTCAATGAGACAGACACTTGAGGCTGGATTAACCCATATGTAAACATAGCAGTTTCTCTGAAACTGCTATATTTTCAGCAGGCAGGGTTAACCCTAGATGGACCTGGCACCCAGACCACTTCATGGAGCTGAAGTGGTCTGGGTACCTATAGTGGTCATTTAAGTGAAAACATGTAATATATATACCTCTAATGAGCCAAGAAATTAAAATAGATGGACATTGATTTAACGGGTCCAATGTAATTCTGTCTGCTTTGCGAATGTTCCCACTTGTATCCAATGATAACTGTGTATAGAAAATGGAAGCCTGCAAAAACATAATTACATTTGATCCCAGTTTACAAATCAACAAAGAAAATCTTAAAGGGACACTCCAGGCACCCAGACCACTTCTGCCCATTGGAATGGTCTGGGTGCCAACTCCCACTAACCTTAACCCTGCAAGTGTAATTATTGCAGTTTTTTATAAACTGCAATAATTACCTTGCAGGGTTAACTCCTCCTCTAGTGGCTGTCTACTAGACAGCCATTAGAGGGCACTTACGTGTCTATAGCACAAGTTTTGTGATAGAGCATCGCAGGACGTCTTCACGCTGTGTGAGGACTTCCAGCGTCGCTCAATTCCCCATAGGAAAGCATTGAAAAGCATTTTCAATGCTTTCCTATGGAGAGCTCTAATGCGCGTACGCGGCATTGTCACACATGCGCATTAGGTCTCCTCAGCCAGTGGGCGAGATAAGTCTCCCCCGCCGGCTGACGTGATGAAGTGGAGGAACGGCGGCGACCCAAAACCACCGCCGAGGGACATCGACGGGGTCTCAGGTAAGTGACTGAAGGGGTGGTGGGAGGGAGAGGGGACCTGCAGTGCCAGGAAAACAGATTGTTTTCCTGGCACTGGAGAGTCCCTTTAAGTTTTATTTCTAAATGTGGATGCGTTGTTCCTGCAGTACATACAATTTAACACTCGTTACAAAACGTTTCTGCTGTTTTTAGAGGTTGGAGCACGTGGGCCTTTCGCTGGCAGGTAGAATCACACGCCAGCCTTAAACAACAGCGACAAGCATTGCATCACCACCATACCCCTTGTCGCCCATTTCCAGTTTCCATGACACATGGCATAGGAAGATTACCCATTATACAGATCAATCTTATGAATTAAAATATAGGATATTAGCCCTTAGATAAAGAAAACCAGACTATTCACATTAGCATATTATTTCTACAAATATATATATTTTTTTAAATCACAGCTGCAAATATACAAAAGGTTGTTGGAGGGAATGCATCCTCGTTTAGTTTTGGCATTCATTTTTTATTTGATTACCTATAATTCACATAACCTCTGTTCTTGAAAATTGTGAACCGTAAACTGTACAATAAGTTAAATTCGAATTCGCCACTAGGTGTCACCTCATGTCTTTCTATCTCAGAACAAAGCAGGGTGTTAATGATCAGTACATACATTCTCACCTGGTGTCCTGTCTATCATAGTCTTCCTCTTTTTATGGGATTTTTGGTATGTGACGGAGCCACAGACTTCACTAGTGTGGGATTTGTAGACAATTGAGAAGGGGATTGCAAGTTTTAGACAAGACTAATCTAACTAGGAAAATCCACAAATTTAGAGGTTAGCAGGAACCTTGATGTACCATCCCAAGTCAGCAGGTGGGCTAGGTCTCCCAAATCTGTATACTTATTGTTTGGCAGTGCAAGTAATACAAATTGTCATGTTACAGATAAACATAAGTGGTTAGATCTGGAGTCCATCATCATGCCACAATTCTGGATATGAGTGCCAAGAAAGGATCGGCCACAAGTGTGCACCTCCTGTCTGGCCTTATTAAACGCAATAAGAATTTGGGACCTTACAGCTGTCAATTTCAACCCCATACAATCGTCCTCCTGGTTACGCCTTATCTGTGCAATAAAACATTTAAACCCTGCTTAACAGCAAGAGATTTCAGGGGACTCAAAAACACAGGCATCTATATAACTCTGGTATAATTTGTTCATTCCGAGATCTGAAGGAACCAGCTCCATTAACTACAGGTGACCTTTTCTGTTATTTACAATTGAAAGGTTTTGCAAAGTCAGAAATAGTTAAAAAGGCAGGTACTAGCCCACTAACTTTCTTTGAGAAGTTCTGCATTACAAACACACAACAAAAGGGCCTCATTACCACTATCTTTGCACATCTTGGCCCTCCGAGAGAGGAACAGGATATACCATGATACATCACACAATTGGAAGAGGACTTACTGCACACTTTAGATGCGGCAAAAAAGACCTCCATATGTGTTAACCTACAAGAACAATCATATAAGACGATGATAAGATGATACGTCAACCCAGTGAAATTGCAGGATATGGGCAAAGCCCTAACGGATGAATGCTGTAGGGCTTGCGGACAAAAAGACACACACATCAATACGTGGTGGACATGTTCTATGGTGCATCAGTATTGGGAGATTGTGAAACACCTCTCAGTTGACATTGTCTGCTGCCATGTGGATGTTGAGTCTTGGTCTTTTCTATTGGCCAAACCCCCAGAGGGTATCCCCAGCAAATGTACAAAAATGATTGAACAAGATCATGTTAGTAGCACGTAGAGCTCTGGTGTTGAAGTGGTTTGGGCACTGAACTTCCAAGTCCTGATATGGTCCTTATAGCAAAGAAGTTCTTCCGTTCCATCTAATTATGGTTGATGTTTGTGCATTTTGGCTTTGCACAAACATCAACCATATTTAGATGCAGGAGTAGAATTTCTCT